GTCTGTCGCTCGCAAGTATGCTGCCGATGTACCTCCTTCTTGATCACACTTGCAGAGTTTGAAGCTGACTTGGTGAACAGCCGCACGATATACTCGAATTCAACGCCCTCCCCTCAACCGCCCTCACTTCCAACGCCCGTATCCTCCAAACCCGAAAATCAATCATCATCTCCCGCCGCTCCGTACCCTCTTCATCCCTTCCACCTCTATCCTATCGCGACAAGCAACTAGAAGCAGCAGTGAACAAAGCAGAATCAGAAAACAGAAGGAAAGAGCGTCAGATCCAGAGGTTCCGGGCTGTCACAAAGGCGGCTCACCCCGAAATCGCCAACGCGTATCTCTCTGTCGAACAGCTGGAAGAAGGGAAAGATGTCGATTACGGCACAGGGGAAGCGCTTGAAGGGGGAGGGAAGAAGATTCCTATGCCGTCGGAAGGGAACAGAGAAGCGCGCGCGTTGGACAGGTTTTGGGAGGATGAAGATTGGGAGAGCAACTCGGGCAGGGCGGAGAGAAAAAAGGTGGGCAAGTGGAAAGTCGTTGGGAGTTCACTTGCCAAGTGAATGGATTGTGGGACGTTGACTGTAGTTATGCATTGTTGTACTTGTCTTCCAGATCGCTATAATACAACGGCCTATCGGCGCCTCTCCTACACATTAATCATCGTACCCTATGGCAAAAGCTCCAAGCCCTTGTGAGAAGTGTAGTCGTCATAGGACGGCTCTTGTGGAGCCTGATTACGATCGACCTTGGGTCTTGGGTCGACAACGATCCCAGCCTCGGCACTACTTTACGTCAACAAACAGCGCATCAGCACATCAAAATGACTCACAACTTCATCTTCAAAACCGTCGCCTCACTCATCTCCGCCGCCTTCTTCCCCGCCCCCAACGCCTTTTCAAACATCTCCCCCCTCACATCCATCTCCTCCACCATCAACACCCCATCAATCAGATCAATCTTGCCCTTCACATCGCCCCCGCTGACGAGCTTTTCGACGATCTCGAGGATGGCGGGGTAGGTAAGGGTGAAGGCGGAGGCCATGTTGGGGAGGGAGATGGTGGAGAAGGGGGTGATGTATTGGGTGATGGCGGAGGTTTGGATGTGGTGGATCAGGTTGCGAGTGGCGGGGGCGAGGAAGGGGTTGAGAAGGAGCGTGGGCTGCGCGGGGTTAGTACAGTACCAGCAGAAGAGAGGGTGGGCTTACTTGAGCATCATGGAGGATCGACATGACCTTGTCATACTTTCCTCCCACAAACGACTGCACAAGCTCCAGAACCCACGGCAGGTTGTCTCCGACAGAGGCTCTGAAACTTTGCCTGTCCAACAGTAATCTCTGGATCCTCGCCCTATCCGACGAAGCGAGCACAGTAAACGCCGTGATCAACGCCACATCCCCCGTCGAAATCGCCTTCCCCTCCCAATCCCCCAGTCCCCCCGCCTCTTCATCGATATAGCCCATCTCCCTCCCCGCCCTCGCCCATTCCTTCTGCGCAAGAGCGAGCAGACCCCTACCGACGCGGATACGCGAAATGACGGAACGGCGGGTAGCGAGCGAGCGGGCATCGGCGACTTCGCGTTCGCGCAGGTCGGCGAGGGTGGTGGTCATGTTGGTTTTTGTTGGTTTGCCCGCGGGGCCGGAGGGGTGGGGGTGGACGCGGTCGAGGACGGATTCGAGTTTGGCGATGTGGCCGGTGAGCGGGCCGGGGAGATTGAATGCGAGGCAGGCCTGGGTAAGATGTCAGTCAGGATGGTGGGGAGGAGGTAGAAGGGGATGTACTTCGAGGATGCTGACGCCGAGGTCGACGTTGTGCTGGTTGGAGACGCTGTGCTCACGGGCACCGGAAAAGTACTTGAGAGCCTCGTTGATGTTGCCCGTCTTCAGCGCCAGTTGTGCGAGCGCCAATTGAGTGAGCTGTGAAGTGTCAGATGGTCGCTTGCCAGCCTCATCACACTTACTCGTATGCTCTCCTTGATCAGGTTACTGACATATCCCCTCAACTCCACATCCAGCCTGGTGTACTCTTTGTGATACGCCTCCCGCGTATCATCCACCCACTTCTCATCCGGGAACCCGTCCTCCTCTCTCCCCCTTCCAGGCGGTATTATCTTCCCATAAAGCCCCCCTCTCCCCATCCCAGACCCATCATCCTCAGCTCCATCAGGCCCATCCACCTCCATCGCCACATCATTCGTCTTCCACCGTTTGCCCGGGTTCAACACGGCGTAAAGCGTGGATACGGCCCAGTAGTAGATGTCGAGATCCCAGGTGGTGGATTTGATGAGGGTGATCAGGCGGAGAAGGGCGGCGTGGGCGAGGAGGTCGGATTGGGGGGAGGAGTGGGAAATGCACGTGGAGATGAGGTGTTGTAAGCGGATTATGAGGGCTCGACCTGAAGGCTGATCAGCACAGGGTCGGACAAGCGGGCAGTAGCAGTGTCAAGATCGATGCGATATTGATATAGTCTTTAGGATTCAGCAGTATAGCCAACCAGAGCTTGTATGGCAAGCAGTCGCCCGTTCACGCTTCAAGTGCGGAGATGTGACTTACCTTGATACGTGCTCTCATACGCGCTCCAGTCGAAAGCGTCGATGTCTATGGACGCCAGGGCATCTGTCGTTGATCTCTGGGTCGCCATGCTGGTACAAGTCGGGGGCAGAAGAGGCGGTGGAGATGGCGGAAAGACAGGTCAAGACCTCTGCGAGTTCGCGCATGAAAGAGGAGATGCGCACAGCGGAACCAATCTACATGGGGCTCCGGGGCGGCGGTGGCCGATGGCGAGTTGCAGCTGGGAGAAGCAGACTTCTGTATATCGTGCAGGTAATACTGGCGCCACGCCCCAAGCCTCCTTCTGTAACTCCACCAGATGCACCTATGCCCGTTCGATTCGTAGAATATATAAGCCATCCAGAAGCCTCATGATCGGGGGGCCATTGAGGCTCGCACAAGCGCGAACTCGGCGCGGCAAGCATTGCATTCGCCACGTTGGCTGACACGCGATCCGTCCTACGAGTGCCGGGTGCGACACTGTATAATGGCTCACGATTTCCTTGCGGATCAAAGGATCTCAAGCGCTTCTCGAAGCCAACCTGCAAAAGCACCTGAGACGCATGGCATCTATAGGCGAGGCAGTCACTCTATGGTCACGTCGGGTGGGTCAGAGCCTAGCGTTGTCACCCGCTGGACAGCCTAAATACCTCGCGGCAAAGGCAACTATGCGCATAGGCATATCATAACTGAACAGTGACTATTTGCAAGCTCAATTACATCCGTCCCCATAAGCGATCACCCTTGCGAATTCGACCCTCAACAACCTATATATGCTGCTCGGAGATCACTCCCAGATTCATCCAATCATCCTTCTGCTATCTCCTAGTTATATCTCAGCGGACTCAGTACATCATCAAAAGCTATGGGCCGATGGATGCACCGCACAGTCTGGCTCTGCCCCCGAACAACCTACCATATCGGTACGACGCAAGGATCGGCGCTACCTTGTCCCTAGTGGAATGGGTTCAAGAGGATGCCGCATGTGGGCAGTGTTTGTCCTTTCTGCAGGGTACGTGGCTTGACATAAATGACGAGTAAATGCTTTGTTTGATTGAAGGGACTGATAATGGGGTTTGGTGTTGTAGTTTGTGATGCACGACCCCAGTAAGGGGGTGTTTCCGATACCGAGACTTGATCTTGTGTATGATTACAGTTGATGGTCGATTCGCTTGTGCTACCTGTAGATTAACTTACCTTGTTACGAAGCGTGCAATAGTAGCAAATGTAAAAACTGAAACGAGGCAGCCGGCGCACCATCCCTTCTTCCTTTCCGTCCTTCCCCGTATCTTCCTCGTGTACGTCTGCGCCCCTCACATCATCGATCTATGTAATCGTATGGTCATCTCTTAATCGCATTCGCCACCCAACTCATTCAGGGTCTTCCCCTTCATCATCGTTAACCAGCAATGCCCGTTTTTGACTATAATCCCGGATACAAAACCCCCATCTGGACATGGCTCTACCTCTGCCCTCATTGCGACACCACTCTAGGCGGTTATTAACCTCAGAAAGGGGAACTTTGTCCTTTTTCATCATGTCAGGTAACGTCTATTCTTCTTCTTGAGGCTTCATGCTCTTCTCTGTATAGTATGAGGGTATGACTGACGGCTGGCATACCGTTTCGGTGGGGTGATGTTGTGAGTAGAGGGTACTGCGAGATGGTAGGAATACGTATCCGAAGATGATTTATGTGCCATTACCCCGCTGATTGTGGCTTTTCCCACCGATGTTTGCTTGTACAGAAGCTCAAGAGGAGGGAAGAGGCTGGTCTGATCTAATCACACAGCCATAGCGCAGAAGAGGCGAGGAATTATTCAACAACTGTATGTAATGGTGGTAGTTGGCGCGGGATGTTGTTCGTTATTGTCATCGTTGGTGTTGTTGGTGTCGGATCAATAGCCAGATGTCTCATGTACCATCATCCCTCTCGCAAGATGCACATACGAACAACAGCGAGGCATCATCACAACCCCATGCATCAAGCTGCGCGACATACGTATCCCCTACATCCCCCGCGGCTCGTTGTTCCAGCGCTTAAGGACGGTTACGGACTGGCTGGGCTGTGGGGCACCGTTCTTCACGTGGTTCGTTACCCAGGTACGCTTGTAATCTAGGTTAGCGGATGGAGAACTATGACTCATGAGGGCTGTCACTTCGAGGAGACGCCCTGGGATTGAGTACGTAGCTTGTAAGATTCGCGCTTGTGAACTTGCGAGTTGAGTCGAGCTGAGGTTTGGAGCGTTGAGCGTTGGGTTGAAGTAGGTTGTCCTGGATTGACGACTGAAGGGGCGGCCTTATGATGGTCTTGGCGCGTTGCAACGTCTGTACTGACAGCTGGGTTGTTACAGTACACATGGGCATATCATAACGTGTTTCGTAATATAGAGGCAGTATCCTCTCTTTTGCACTCGCCCTGATATATTACAACAGTCGCTCCCTCTCAATTTTTCAACTACTCCTCTCTGTCCACAGGAGGCTTCATCCTCAGCCCATCCCCTCCCAAACTCCCAAGCTTGATGATCCCTTCGCTCCCCTTGGGCTTCTCAGCCCTCTTCAACTGCCCCTGGCTCGGCCCGGGCTCGCCATTACTCGCAGGAACACCCGTCTCGGCAATAGTAGGATGCGACGCAGGCTCCGCAGGCTGGTCGAGGTACGCCGAATCCGTCAACGGATTCTCAGGCGACCTCGAAGGCGCAAAAGCGCCAGACCCCCCTGAAGAGCCAAAGCTGTTTCGAGGGGACGAACGCGGTTCGGCAATCGGCGAGTCGGACTCTGCCTGGGCAGGGAGAGGGGCGGGCTGGTTGTTGAGCTTGGAGGGGTCGATGGGTGGGGAGGTGGCTTTGCGGTGGGCAGAGGTGGGGGAGGTCATGACGGCGTCAGAGACCGGGGGAGGGGAGGTGAGGGCGCTGGAAGCGGTGGAGGCGGGGATGGGGATGGGTGCGGCGGTGGTGTTGGATGACATGGCTAGGGGGAAGTCAGCACGGGCATGAAGGGAGATGTGAAAGGGGGCTGACTTTGTGTTTGTTGACCCGACGTTGTAGGAAAAGAGGAAGAAGAGAAGATGGGAACGCGTTGTTGTCTGTGGTGGAGAGATGACGCATTTGATTCCGCAGCGATTCCAGCAAAGTCTAAACTGGGTCTAAGCAGCTCTCTCCTAAGTGCCTTAATACCCTACCCTTGACTTGGGTTGACGGTGCAGGGCGATGCGCAGGGATGGCCATGCATGCTGGGCACATGCAGGCCTTGTGAGGAGGACCGGCTGGTGCGCCGCTGTCTTTGGTATGCATGGCGAAAGTCTCATCACTTCAGGTAGAAGACAAAAGATCGCCTTCTTGTCAGCTGCCGTTGTTGCTCCACTTTTTGCCGTACACATTCGATTCAGCCGAGCCGAAGCCAGAAGCTAAAAGAACTCGGCACATCACCGCAATCCTCATTTCAAGCATGCCGTTATCAAGTCTGTTCACAGTCATCATTGCCTTTCGTGCAGTGGCAAAATAGTGACCGACGCATAGCGATAAAGGCGCCGCATAACGTTGCGTGATAAGGGGCGCGATCAGGGGTATCGCCTTTGGAAGATGGTTTACAAAGGGCCTCTTTCTGCGTCTTCCGCTTGCCTCGATGCAGTGGCTCATTACAGCACATCTAACCGAGCAAAGCAATGTTGAGTCGAGAGTAGACGCGGCGGCGGTACGATACTTGTACAAGGTCCGCTAGAATACGTAGTCTCCATGTAGGAGCCTACAACCGTCTACAGCGACTGACGACGATCATCGCCAAACAGCATAGATCCCAATCCGAGGATCATGCCCAATCGACCGGTCTTGGCTCCGGCAAATCCCCTATTTCGAACCCCTCCGCCTATCGAACCACGAGATCGCCGCCGGTCTCCATTACCGACTCCTCACCCCCGCCTCCTCCCCCACCTGCTCCGCCTGCGCGAACGAGTCCGACTTAGGTCATGACGAAGTCTGCCGCCTGCGCGAGACATGGTCTATCCGCCGACACGACTCTATCGACAGAGTTCTCCAATCCTACCTCTCCCGTGTCGCCGGCGCCGTCGTCTCTCTTGAGCCATCAACCCAAGAAGGGCGAAGGAGGAACGATCTTCGGGTGCGAGGAGGGGGGGGGGGGGGGTGCACTACGGAGTGCCGACTACGACCTGAAGGTCTACGGGCTAGAGGACAAGCACATGTACGTGGTGGATGGAAGAGGGAAGCCGAGGGAGATGGAGTGGATAAACTGGGTGCAGGGACTGATCGTGGCGTGGTTGAGCAAGAGGGACGCGGAGGTTGTCAGCAAGGCGCCGAGGATCTACGGGGGGGCGTTCCGCCCCCTTGTTCTTTCTGCGGGCGGGTTGATGAGTGAGGAGACGGCTGTGGATTGGCGAAGTTAGAGGAAGGGCATGGAGAAAGAAGTGTGGCACGGGATGCAGAGTAGGGTGGGGATAGAGTTGGTGAAGGCACGAGCGAGGACGATGTGGAAGTGAGGAGCGAGGGGAGGGAGGCCAAGGAGGGTCCGGGGACGTATCCAGGGACTGAGGAGGAGATCAGCTCTCGTCATGAGTGTATCGACATTTTCAGCAAATTCGTGCAGGAGGAGGCGGTAAAGAAGGGGAAACAGCCAGAGAAGTTGTGCTTCCAGGAATTGTCTGGTCTATTGTCACGCTTGGGGAATGCCCTTGGTGTGCTGAAGAGAGCTTTGTTGTAAGGGGCAAAAACCTTTTCGTTATTGTCGCATATGAAGAAGAACTATGAAAGAAGACTCTGATTTATATATACGGAGAGCACGGTTCACTAAACACACAACTAAACTACCTGAATGAGTAAACTACACAGGTGACCCTATAACCATGACATATATTCAGTGCGTGGGCGTCGTTCGCAACGCGAACAAGAACAGTCGCTCTTTCGAAGTGAGCGGCCCTACTCATATGGTACCCGAGTACGCGTTCCTTCCATCAAACATGTCAAGCCTAACCTGTACACAGGGCAAGAAGATGGGAGTGGAAGTGGGAGGGGCCATTGTAGGAGAGGAGCGGGAGGTGGCGTTGCAGTGTTTGCATGATAGAGGGCGGGATGGAGATAATATATGGCTGGGTATATTTATATGCATAGCTTGGAAGACGAGATAATATGATGGAAAGTCGATAGCTGCAGAGAACGAGTGAGAAAGAGCCCATCCAGATCCAAGGGACGAAGTGCATAGAGCATGCTCTCGTCTGGCAGGCGCCACACTTTGGCCACACTTCATTCCAAGAGGGTGTTACGTAAATTGCAGCCATCTCACCCGGGGGCGGCGGGGGCCGGCCCGCTGTCACACGGGTCCATGACCTCTAGCGAGGTAGCGGGGGCGATAGAGACCCGCAGAGGAGAGGTGGTATCGATTTTGGTAGCGGGGACGATAGAGACCCGCGGAATGACTACTACAAGGTATGGTCGATCAAATATACTGTCACACGGGTCCATGACCTCTAGCGATGCCCTTGTAGTAGTCGAGGTGAGTCGAGATGACTTGAGGCCCATGAGAGGTAGCCAAGCCAATGCCGGAGGACATGGACGATTGTGTTTGAAGAGACAACAATATTTGATCGACAGAGTATCTAAAAGCTATGAAAGAGTGTGGTATTTATATCCAGCCTCAAGCCTACGTATCCCTTTTCCATGACCTTCCAGTGTTTTCTACAGTGGCCAACAGAGTGGCAAAGATGATTCTAGATGCTTCGAGATAAATCTGGGTCGAGTGGCGACAGCCACGTGACACCCGCCCACCGAGCCTTCGTTCATTCAACTCTTCATTGACCCGCCCATTCGCCAACACATCGCCAGTACTCATAGAGTTCCCGCACCATGCCCCCCAAGTCATCCTCTCGACCGTCCGGCCAGGACTCTCCCGGCGCCTCCCTTACTACCCCTTTCAAGACGTCCTCACGACCATCTGCAACCGACCCCAAACCATCTTACAGCTCCGTGGGGCTATCACAAGATGCCGCTCAAGCTCAACTCGCTGTGTCATCGCCTCTATTCGATCACGACAATATCCAGTCTCTTAGCGCTCCAGACATGACTGCTATTGTCCAATCTTCCACAGAGATTGAGCACAGAGTGGAAACCAACATCTACAATCCCATCACTCGACACAACGATCCTGAAAGACGAGTGTACCGATTTCTGGAGGAGGTCCTCGACCATAACCAGTCCATGCTTGGCATTGCTCGATTTGCCTCTCGTCGTCAGGGTTGCCCAACGAGGCCTGTGTGCTGTGTGGTGGGAGAGAGTGAGGAGAAATGCTACCGCACTGGTCTCGAAGACTCAGGCAAATTGGAGGCCAAGAATGATCTTGTAAGTTATCGACTCATGTTTCAGCACCTGTGTCTTGCTGACACTTCCGCAGTTGCATGAAGTCACCAGCAAGCTTGGTCTTAGCGAACATATCACTCTGCTCTACGAATGAGTCGTTGATACCATCATTGATATGCTACAACAGTGATCATGCCAAAATGGCAAAGATACCAATCCGCGGATCATGCCCAATCTACTATGCATCGGTCGCGTCAGAACGAACGATCCTCGCTTCCCGAGCTGCTTATTCTGCAGTCATATACCACGTCGATCATGGCCGAGATGCGCCCGTGGACAATCTAAATAACTTACCTTACAGCTACCAGGGCACAAGGTCCCCCTGGCGGGATAAGTCTCGCTGATGATGGCATTGCACCAAGAACGAGGACATCTGTAGTATCGTTTCGCTGCGGGAGCTGGGGTTGGGGGCCGGTAGTATTGAGCCGACATGATAGCGAAAATCAAGTGTTGTTTGAATGGGTTGACTGGTGTGGCGGTTTTTTATTGTAGTTGATGAAGGTGAGACGAGGTCTGTCTTTTATACCTGCTGCAAGACACGACGTGAGTCGTAGAGCGGACGCACCTGGGGACAAGGAAGACGGAGCTTGGACACAGCCACCAGAAGTACACGCCAAACTCAAAAGTAAAGCGCGAGGTAGCAGGCGGTGGCATGCATCATCTTTGAGCATCCGTTGCATTGAACGTTCTGCGGACGAGTCATTCGATGCGGATGATGTAGATCACGCGCTATAGTGGCGCATCGATGCACAATCAGTAGAAGGTCGCGAGCTACGCCCGCCTCATGTCTTGCGCCACATCATCCTCCGGGGGGACTCCTGAGATTATCACGCATGTAATCAAGGGTTGAGTCCAAGTACGTGAAGGGGAGTACACAGTTGTGCTTGGATGAGGTCTTGGAAGGAGTGGCAGAGGCTAGAGAAGAAGAGAAGGGGAGAGAAGAGAGTCAAAAGAGTTTGTGAAGTCTCTGTCCCAACACCCAGCCTTTCTTATATACATGAATGAGTGACGAGACGATAGACGGAACGACTACGTGATACGACTACGACACGAAGCGAAAAAGGGTACAAGTCGACCAGCGAAGCGTACAAGAAGGCTAAAGACAATAAGATAGAGGAGACGGGTGGAAGAAGGTAAGGGTAGCGAATATGGGTGTGTTGATGTGTGTCGGACAGCCTTACTACAAGAGAGGAAGAGAACGAGAACGAGTAACGGTAACGAAGACGGAGGCGAGTAAAGCTAAAAGAGTCCATGGGGGGTGCAGGCGCCTGGCACGCTACAATCCTTCCGACTGCAGCCCCAATGTTGAGCTGCTTCAGACTAGGAAACTACGTGACCTTTCGAGTGACGAAGCCCATCAAGATTGGTGACGAGTTGACAACGTTCTAGTAAGTTCATGGTATAAAATTCAGCAAAGTGTATCTAATGTGGCAGTTTTAGTGGAGAAAGATTCTTGCTGATCTACAAAGCTTTTACTGACCTCTATCAAGTCGGCAAGAACAATAATGAATGGCAAGTCTTGTAATGTAACGAGGGATCTGTCACATATCCCTCATGAGTATATAGCAATTTGATCAATGCCCACCTTCACAATCCCGAACTCCCAGCCTCCACTGCAGGGTTGGCAATCTAAAACTCTAAACCAGATGATATCTCAATTCCCCAAGAGCTGTATCGTCTTCGGCGGAGGGAAGCATGAACGAGCTGTCTTCCCTTCTCCCATCCTCATCATCTCCTACGGTCCCAACGGTTGACGTGCATGAGCTTTGCTTGGTTGCCATTTTGCCACCGGACGTTCTGATATTGCCAGCAGCGCGCAAAGATGTGACCTGCTTTTGTCGGCGTTTGAAGAATCGCCAGCAGCATCCGCCAACGACGTACGCGTACACGTACCCGTCCTTGTCTGACGATCACCATCTTCTTGCGATAGTGTTGGCTCTGCATTTATGTAGTCTGATCAGTTTTGTGGTGCTTCGATTTGAGATTTTGTGCAGAAGGGTCGTGAAGCGATAGAATTTCTTCTTGTGGCGGTGGTGGTGGTGGTGGTGATATGAACCTGTTCCTCAAGCTCAAGGGAAGGCGGCGGACGGGTTGCTGGTAATTAAGGGCGCGACATGATGACCCAAATGACCGGTTGGAATTGAGGGCCACTACTATGTGGGTGGCAGTAGGGCAAGCCAGAGACACTCTCAACAAGCAGAAAGAAGATTGATGATATAAGAGGGTGAAGGCGCCTTCTTGTATCACTACAGAGAACGAGATGCTCTAGATGCTGAGCACATTCATACCAGATGACGAGCGTGCCCAACCTTTCACATAGAAGCCCCCACCCCAGTAGTCGAGCTTGGCCAGGCTATGTCAGTCGGAAGGCTGAAGGCCAGCGTACTCTCTTTTGTGCATGAGCGCCACTGAGGCACACTCTCAACTGGCTGGCGAGGAAGTCGCAAGGAAGCTTGCATTTCAACAAAACAAACGTCCGGCGCAGCGGAAAGGACCCTCCCACTACCCCAGTCGATCGAGATCCCGTGCTCCCCCCCCCCCCCCCGGGTCCCATCATTCAACTCTGATCAAGAGAACGCATGGCCTTCCGCGTCCAAGCTCGTCCTTTCCGCGACATCATCCGTCCCTGAAGCCCGAAGCCTGGGATCCTGAAGCCTGAAGAGATGAGAGAGACGGACGACTGTGCTTTTGCCGGAAGAATGCGGGGAACGTGCTTGACGACTGCAAAGTATATAGTTCGAGTAGCTTGGAGGGCTTTGCCAGCCGCGCAGTCGTATACAAAGCCAAGAACGCAAGACACACGACGCAGAAGGTTCAAAGAGGCAACAGGTAGGTAGCCGTAAGCGCATCCCGGGCACCGGGGTCTAGAACAAGGACGAGCAACGTACGGTTGTGTACTTTATAATGCATGCGCGGTCACTTTCAGGGGCAGCTTCCATCTGCTTCCAAGGCGTTTCCAAGCCAAAGGTAGCGCTCTTCGGGAGGGAAGAGGGGAGGAGACGGGGGGGAGGGGGGGGCAGAGAACACTCGGCGGCGGCGCTGATTGTATGCTGCATATGCTGCGAGGCATGCGCACCATGTGGATACTGGCTACTGTAAATGCTGGGCCGCAGACGTCGGTGCGGACGTGCATACGTAGCACTGCACCATGCATACAGTCATACAGGCACAGCACTCTAGAACATGCATCGCCGGCCGCCAGAACATAGATCTCGGCCTTCCACTGCTGCAAGTGCAAGGACAGAAGGGCCATCTCATGCCAATCATTGAACCATCTTCCATCTCCGACGCCCTTCCCTTTCCCTGGATGTTGTGGCCAAGGAGGACAATGGAAGGGGGAGCAACATGCTTGGTGGCGGCCGGTAGTCAGGACGGGCGACGGAAGACAGGGGGGAAAGGGGTGACGCTCCTCTTTCTGTACTACACACAACACAACACGGGGGTGTAAAGGCGTTTGGCATTTCACTCCCCCGTCTTTACCCCGTCCTACATAAGATGCGCGGGCTCCAGACCTGGGGAAATTCTCTCTTACTTATCTTTTTCAACAGCTACTACACGTCGACGCTGGTAGTCTTTCGACTTTTACACTTACTTTGGGCGGCTTGCTTCTCGGCCACGGCATCGGCATCGCACATCGCACATCTGGCATCGCATACAGACCGACCAACACGCCCCAGAGGCTTACATCACCGCTTCCTCGCCACCACCCCTTCCGCTCTTCCCTCCTTCCCCCCCTTCCTCCTTCCATCTCACCCCTCTATCGCTTTTCGAGATTGTTCAAATACCCCTCACCCCAGCGAGATTCCCAGACCCATTCCCCCGCCGGTCCCCACAGAAGAAGAAGAAGACAGATATGCCCCTCCAAGTACACTACTTTTGCTCGACGTGCAAAGTGCAAGACCTCGGTCCGAGATGGCCTATGCCGGGCATGTGTTGCCCCAGATGTCGCGTACGTCCCGGCCCCCTGCTCCCACCCCCTGGGCAGGTGCACATCGCTGACCGGTTGGTATAGTACATAGTCCTAGACGGCTTTATGGGTATCTTCCCTGTTCAGGTGACCATCATGGTTCCATGACAATCCGCCACCCCGCCCCTTCCCCTTCCTTCTCCCACAACCACCACCACCACCAACAGAACTGAACGCGGAACCGTCTTTCATTTCCGAGACTGTATAGAAGGGGGCCAAATACACGCAGACTGGTTTGGAGGGTGAGACGGCGCCCACGAGGTTGAGAGGTCTTGGCATATATGGGTCTTTTCGGATTTCCTTTTTGGTATCGGGCTGTATTTGTAAGTTACTATGTGGATTCATAACAAGATGAGAGCTCATATCACTTGTCAGAGGCGTACCATAGAGTGGTATGAAATGTAACATGCTTGTACTCCTGTGAAATATTAAACGAAAGGATGGAAGAAGAACTCCTGATTAGGCCTACACATGCACAAAAAGCTACAGTCTAGTATGACTGCTTTCCAAGTCAGAGTCTCGGGTACTCGAAGTGCAGCATGTTTACGTAGATGCAGTGACGTGGCCGTGGCGGTTGGGTGGCGAAAAACAACATGTGAGCTGAAACTCTGAAACTGATGGGCGTGATTGATTGTTTGATTGATTGACTGTTTGAACATGATCGGTGATCGAGGAGGATCGGCGGCCGATGGGACGGGGATGGAGATCTTGTTTGGTTTTCGTTTTCGTTTCGGATTCAGAGGAGGGGCCTCGACGCGGGGTACGTTACGGAGAACTGCCATCTTCCCGTTCAAAACTGTGCAGTACGGACACACTTCAATGTACGCGCCAACGTCTCGGTTGAGGGCTCATTGTACTTCTTTCTCTCTACTCAAGTATCTATGAAGCGGCTAAACATATATGGCATTTTCGTTTTCGGAGGCGATCAATCGTCTTCTTCGCCAATGTGAGAGCTTCAGAGGAAGGTTATGAGGTGATTATGGTAGTCGGTGTCATGTATGGAGGAGGGATGCGCCGAGCTGGGCAAACGTTGGAAAAGAGCCAAGTAACAGAATGCAGGAAATTCGATTGGTAGGTGGATGCGACAACAAGATCGAAGTCTAGATTTGCAGGACGCTACAGCATGGTCGATACGAGACGGTACAGGGGTGTTTACATGTACACAAGTCTGACTGTCTGATCCGGAATGCTGAGTGTGCAGCTTGGGGAAGGATGAAGCGCCTCGGCAAGATGACGCACCTGGATTTATAGTTCTCCATCTCCATCTACGATTTCTATGAACGCTCCATTACATACCACACCGAATGAATATTACATGCTCCTCTTCCTCAACCTCTTCAACTCCATAACCTCCCCCGCCCCCTCTCCACCAGCCTTCTCGGCGCTCGTCTTCCCCTTCCCATTCCCCTGCCCCTGCATCGACACCGTCCTCTCCCTCACCCCCTCTCTCCCCCCTCTCAAACTCAACACTCTAGAAAAGAGAGACGCTGACCGTTTATGCCCTCTCTCCTTCTCCTGCATCCCGCCACTAGGGAAGATGTGCGGGGGTTGGAAGGCGTCTTCGTTTTCTGGTTCGGGTACACGCCCTCGGACTCTTATACCTCCTACCACCCTCACCTCTTCCCCTTCCCCTTCCCCTTCCCCCGCTCCACCCCCAGCTTGAAGAGCTTGAGGAGGAGAAGGCGAAGTGAAATCAACATAATCCCCCTCCCCCAGCGGCCTTCGCACACCCCCCAAAACATGCATCCCCTCCAACTCGTCGCCGACCTTCAAGTCCCAATACCCCCGGCCGCCGGCAGCGAGGTTGTCGGCGCGGCGTTTGGCGGTGATGAGGCGGGCTTGGAGGGCGAGGTCTTTGAGGGCTGTGGTGATGGTTGGTGCGGGGGAGAAGGGCGGGTGGGGAGGAGAGGAAGAGGTCGGGAAGGGAGAGGGAGAGGAAGAGGGAGGAGGAGAGTTGGGGTGGGAGAAGGGGAGTGGGGAAAAGCGGATTTGGCGGGGGGATGTAGCAGTGGGCGCGATTGTGGGTAATGGAGCGGTGGGTAGGTGAGGTAGAGGAGAAGGAGGACGGTATGGGAGAAGAGGCAAGTTTTGCAAAGCCGTATGCGATATCAAAAATACCTTTTCCGAAAACTACAGTCCATTTCTCTCATCAGCTTCGCCCCTCACTCTTCCTACACCAAAGAAGAAGACTGACCTCTTTCATACCAACCCACTTCTCCCCCTCCCCCTTCCTAACCCTCCTCCAAACCTCCCCCTCCCCCCCTCCCCCATCCCAAACATGCCCCGCCTTCTTCCCCATCTTCAAATTCATCTTTTCCAAAAACAGCTTGGCATAATACCCTTCGCCTGCTTGTTCTTCTGTCGTCACGGATATGAGTTTTGGTTTTGGGGGGGAAGAAGGAGATGGAGGGGAGAGGAGGGGGATGAGAGGGAGGAGGGAGGAGGAGGAGGATTGGAGGTGGGTTGAGAGGGATTGGAGGAGGGGTGGGAGGAGGGAGGCGAGGGTTTGAAGGTTATCTACCTTTTTCATCAGCGCGTATTCATATGTACCCCTTCTCCTTCTTCGCTTTCAAATAGGAAACACTCACCATATCCATCAGCTTCCCTATCCCCATCGTCCCCAACCTTCACCTTCCCAGTCAACCCCTTGACCAACCCCGCCCAAGCAATGGCATCTTCCTCCAAATCCACCCTTAGCTCTTCCAAATCACGGACCAACCCTTGACGGGTGGTAAACGCAGTGTGGAGGAGGAGGAGGGGGGATGTGAGGGGTGTTGTTGGGGAGGGGTTGTGGGTGGGGAATTGGAGAGCCGAGAGGTTTTTCTGAAGGCGGGTTTTTTGGGGGCTGGGAGGTTTTGTTAGAGGAGGATGAGGATGATGAATGGGAGGATGGACTCACAGAGACTCCTCTACTCCCTTATCCTTGCCATTCGCCTGTGATTCCGGCTCGGGGTCTAGAACGAGCGACGTCTCAGACTTTATAGCCTCAAACCCCGCCGCCAACCTGGCCGACCGGATATGCGCTTTCCACCCATCCACCGAGCTTCTGTAAAGCACATCCACCACGCGATCCACGTCATCCTCCTCGCCCCGTACTCCCCCCTCCCCTGACCCTGGGAGGGCATGGGGCGATCCAGGCCGACGCCAGTACTGCCCCTCAACTTGAGCGGGATAGAAACCCGCAAAAGACCAATTTTGGATGCACCGGATGTCAAAGGTCTCACAGTCTACGAGCACGTCTTCCCAGGAGAGGTTGCCGTGGCATAGGATGTACGGTTCTTTGTCGGCGGGCGCATATTCTGCGCGCGAGAGGGTTCGGAGGCAGTGTCCGAGCCTAGGGGAGAAGAGGGGCATCTCGACGAAACTCTTACAAGTCTTGGAAGCGTGTGAATGCAGTTCGTCCATGTACCGCTCAAGCTGGAAGAGGATGGGGCGGTGCATATCGGGAGGGGCGGCGGAGGCTGGGATGACGCCTTCGAGTCTCTCGAATAAGAGATAGGTGGCGCCGCGGTCTTGGAAGGAGGCGATGATGTTTGGGACGGGGATGGAGGTGTGCTCTTTGAGGTAGGCGAGGGCGAGCGCTTCGTTTTGGAGGGCGGTGGCGGACTCGCCCAGGGGGATTGAGAGTGAGGTGGGCGAGGAGGGGGGCAAGGCGGAGCGTTTGACGCAGATGTCAAAGTCGTACGTCGGGCACTGTGTCGTGAACGTGCGTTGCCGCCCATCCTTGCCAGACATATTGGCCTACAATGGTGAGTAGGGTGAGTAGGATGAACTTGAGGATACTTTTGAAAGCTGTAGATGTCTTGGGGGCGTTGCGGGCACTAGGGGATGGCCTGGGCACGGCTTGGGCTCGCTCACACAGTCCATGCGGTGCTCGTTCGCCGCCGTCAGCCTCATGGCGCAGTAAATGCCGTGCATCCTTGCGAACCAGCTCGAGGGAGAGACGGGCAGGGAGGGGCGTGGTGGGTGGTTGCAAGGACAACAACAATGGAAAGGTAAGGGGCATTAGAACGGAACCAAATAGTCAATAGCATGACTTGTAATGAGATTACAAAGCTCCAATTTTTGCACGCGACTGCATCTCCTCCTTCATCCTCCTTGAACTGTCCACTATACACCCGCGATGCCCCCCAAACTGCCCGCCAGCCTCGTATCAGCAGCCGCCGATGCCCCTCCCCCTGCGAACGATGCCGCCAGTACCAGCGGTTCTGCGCGAAGCACCCCCGCTCTCGGTGGTACACCAGGACCCAGTGCCGGTCCCAGTGCGCCAGGCGTGCCAAAGATGAAATTCAAACCCAAAGTGCCCATCCGGAGACAAAAGACGTACGTCCCCCTCTCATCTTATAGTGCGAAGCTGACAATAAAATATAGAGAGGCTGAAGTGAAAGCTGTACGCGCCTTTAAACAAATGGTAGTGGTCAAAACAAACTGATTGGGACGTAGGAACCTGCGCCTTCGGCGTCTACGAGAGGTGCTCCCCGAGGTCGTGGGAGAGGCGATCCTCGTGGAGGACGGGGTGGAAGAGGAGGAAGAGGAGGGACGGTCGTATCTACATCAACCGCTGCAGGTGTCTTTGGTGGTCCTCGGCCCGCTACGTCCAGTCAGTCTCTCTATCCCCTCCCCTTCCTCTCGCTTACCACTACTAACGTATGTAAGTAGCTACCCGCAAATTCACAGCCGCCGCCTCCGCCCCCCGCCTCCCCGAGTACCCCTCCGACGCCGAAGAGTACTCTGACCACTCCTCCGAAGACGGCTTCACCTCCACCCGGCCTATCGACATTGACCTCGTCTCGACCATGTCTGAATCTGCGCCGACGAGTATGCATAGGGATCGAAAGTTGACGGGGGGGCCGAAGGCGAAGGAGATGAAGGATAAAGAGAAGGCGGATAAGGCTAGGGTGAAGGCGAAGAAGGCCAAGGGCAGGACCGCTGTACCCGTGGGGCAGGGGGGAGTGAAGCCGGAACCGGTCTCGCCGGGGCAAGAGTTCCAGCCGCTGAGAGACGACGACGCGATGATGTCGGGCGACGAGGACCAAGACCGGGACGAACGCGGGCGTCGGGTGCGCAACTTTATGCAGACGGGTGGGATCGAAGAAGCGAGCCCGGAGGAGGAGGATGAAGAGGTGAATGCGGCGCAGATGGTGGATCTGAGTGAGAGCGAGAGTGAGGAGGAGGAAGAGGATATGGAGGGGGACTTTGTGGCTACCGAAGGCGGGGTGAGTCCTCATCTTCTTGTTTGCTTTGTTTGTTTGTGGGAAGGGAGCTGATGAAGGAGGGTTAGGATGATCCCGAAAACAAACTATTCGTATTCCAATTCCCGCACCTCTTTCCCAAATTCAACCCCCCCGGCCCTGTCGACCTGACCAACCCCAATGCTGCGTCCATGCCCAGGGAAGACGTCAAACCGGATATCAAACCGACCGCCGCGCAGCTCAAAGCACAAGCGAGAAAGGCGAAAGAGGAGCCGGTGCCGGAGGGCAGGATCGGGACGATGGTGGTGATGAAGAGCGGGAGGGTGAAGATGGTTTTGGGCGATGGGATCGTCATGAACGTATGTCCTCTCCCTTTCCTCTTCCCCCTCCTCCATGTTTGGTGTAGAAGCTGACAGGAGAGGTCAGGTCGCCCCCGGAGTTCCACCAACATTCACCCAGCATCTCGTCCACCTCGACCCCAAACAAAAGGCCGCCATCGTCATCGGCGATATCCACAAAAATTACGTCGTCACCCCTGATATAGACAGGCTGCTGCAGGAGCTTTATTTGAATGGGGGACAGACGCCGGGGGATCTGGAGGCTGTGAAGAGGGAGGAGGTGAGGAGGTCCAAGGGGTTGGTCAAGATGGAGGATTTGTAGAAGGCTAGGCTTGGAGGGAGGGATAGAGGTGCGCATGTATACATGTGGACTACTGGCATTTTCCCTGCTCATTTCGCTTGACTGTACAAACTCGTACCGCTATAGTACAGTACCAACATTTATGATCGTTTAGAACACTCCCCACACACCCACTGCCACCCCAGCCCCTCCCCAGCTTGTTTCAACTCCATCCCACCCTTCTCCCTCTTCCCTTCCTCGCCACAAAAGAAACACCACTCCACATCAACTTCATCTATCGCTTGCCCCCCATTCACATTCCCGCTCCCATTTACAGTCTCAAGCATGTTGTCGTTTCGTCGTCGGACACGGCCGATGAGCTCGTTACCGTCATTTTGGGAGAGTAGTGTGCCTTTGATGGTGCTTTCGTCGTCTCTTGTGCTCTCCAAGAAGGGACGCGAACGCGCAGAGAGTGGGTGCGCGAGCGATCGCTCACCGGAAGAAGAAGGGTCCGACCTCTGCCCTTTCAGCTCCAGCTCAATCTCGGCCAACCGTCTTTCGAATCCCCCGCTTTCACCTATATCCATCATCCCCCTCTTTTCTCTTACCCCATCCCCATCAAGACGTCCGGGAGATACGGGAGAGATGGGGGAGGGCGCGAGTTTGGTGGGTTTGACCACGGGGGGGATGAGGGAGGGGCCGACGCTGCGGGAGAGGGATTGGAGGTCGCGGAGACTGTTTGGCATTGACCATTCTCCGCCTCCTCCCCCTGCTGCTCCGCCTCCGACATCAGCGCCGCCGAAAGCAGCGCCAAGACTCCCGAAAGCGGGCTTGGACCCCTCAGCCTCGGGGGGATGGAATTCGAGCGTAGGCGGCGGGGCTGGTGGGAAACGGATCAAGCTGGCTGGCGGGGGACCGTGTCGTGGGGTGAGGCTGAAGCCTGGGCCGAGTCCCGCAAGTCCGCCAATGCTCATAGGTGGCGGAAGAGGGTTGGAAGGGATGGCGAGGGTACTGGGGATACCCCTTGTGGGGTGGGCTTTGAGCGCGAGCGCTGGGCCTTCTTGGCCTTCTTGGAGCTGGATTGACTCGGGCAGGGTTGGGAGGGTTGATTGACGGAGAGGGGAAGAAGGTGTGACAGGCCACTGGACTTTCGGGCGGGTTTGGCCAGTGGTGAGTGAAGGGGTAGGGGTGGAATTTGGAGAGGAGACAGAAGGTGGGGTCAGGAGAGGTGTTTGAGGGAGGGGGATGGTAGGTGGGGAAGGGGCAATGGCGGTCATCTTGTGTTTTTGGACGTTGTTTTGCGGATCTGTCGTCGGGGGAGACAGAGAGGAGATAGAGATTTTTGGGGGTAATGTATGATGGTCAGACTCGGAGTGGTGGTCGTGGGATTTGGGGATTTGGAAGAGGGACCCGTTCATGAGGAGGAGTCAGTTTGGCACAAAGGAAAGAGCGTTCGAAACGTAAGCGGGGATGGAGAAAGGATATACATTCGCATCGAGATTATACTCTTCTTACATTGTCCGTCATGATCAACCCATACTAAACATTGTCCATATCAATCAGATACGCCCTCAGGGGTGCACAGTTGGAGACTTAGAACTCTTGCGCCTTGAACCCGAAATACGTAAACGTCTTGTTGGCGCCCACCGGGTCGTACAAGACGAGAGAACCGTTGTTGTTCAACTCGGGTGTGGGGCCGTATGAACTGTTGAATTTCCCTTTGTCAGTCGGGCGGTCTTCGGTGAAGGCTGAGATAGAAGAAAATGAAAGGGAAGCAGGGGATGGGGCGGGAGAAGATGACTCACTCGTGTTCATCGACGAGCATAGCGATGACGGTATCGGTATAGGTCGTAATTCTATACTCTCATAAGCATCACATCCTACAATCTGGGGGAGGAAGGCGAGGGGGGGACTCACTGCCAGTACTGGCCCGATGCAGCCGCATTGTCGTAGTCATACTCGCACTCTCTCAAGGCGAGGGGAGAGCCTTCGCGCGGGAGACGGGATGCGGCGAGACACTGATGGGTGGGGGATACGTTGGAGTATGTAACATGTCCATAGAAAGAGTGTGCAGAGTTTTTCCTACACCTCCATGTCAGCTCGTACCCACCGAAAGAGAACGAAAAGCGACGTACAATCCATTAAAAGCAAGCTGCGAGTCCGTCTCGCAAACTTCAAACCCAAACAACTCTGTCGTACGACAGTCGCCACAAGGCTGGATAGACCCGTCGCTTGCGAGGCCGAGGCGGGATTCGTTGAACGAGGTGGTTTGGGAGTCAGAGTCGAAGGAGGTGACGTTGGAGTAGAAATGGATTTGGCCGTTGAAACCGGTGGATGTGAATGGGCCTGGGTGTGAATGTTAGTGCGGTGAGAGAGGCGGAGAGGGAAAAGGGGCATACCGGAGTATTGGTATCGGACACAGTTCAGGTGGGTCGAATCATCGCGTTTGGAGAGTTCACCGGTAGGAGCGGCAAAAGCGAGAGGGATGAGGGCGGCGAGGGCTGCAAGCTTGAACATTATGGAATAGTGTGTAAGTAGTGGTTATAGAACGAAGATGGGGATGAATGTTTCCGACTGTTTGCTTATATACCCACCAATACCCTCGGTCTTCAGCGCCTAAACAACCCTCAGCCTTCAGCGCCTAAGCTCACGGCCATGTGCTGCGCACTGCCTTGAAGGACGTCGGCGTCAGGGTCGGGGATGGACAGCGTCATCGGAATGTGAGTGAACGGTCAAAGACCGATGAGTCCGAGGTTTTGCGGGAGTGATGAGCGGAGCTTTACATTAGTAAGGGGCTCATGACCGGGTTCCTGTGCTCGATACTCTACTCTACAGTACGAGTACATGACGAATCGACTGGTGGATACGTGGACACGGCGCTTATGAGTATGGGCGTTACCTCAGACCCCGGGACTATGCAGACTGGTGGTCAAGAAGGCGGAGTGGGAAGCCGGCTTTGAAGAATCAAAGATATGAGCGCAGGCACCGAAAGGCACCGGGCAATCGGGAAGGCGATGCACGGGCCGCCGGCGTCCATCGCCTCTTTGCGGATTTGCGATGCAGCATCCACGTACGCATGCATGACCTCTGCCTGGGTAGGAAGGATATCGGGGCGCTGCATCTGGGCAGCATAGCATGGGAGATTGACGTACGATGGAAGCAACGGGAAGGGCAAGCGGCAAGCAGCAGGCGCACTCTGTACCAAAGAAGAAAAGAACGTTATCTAATCGCCGTGCTGCGAGTTGCGAGCTACGGATCTTCGATGATCGTTGGCCTGATCTCTTTGATAAGAGAGAAGGGCGACAACACGCTTAGTATCAACATCGCTTCGATAAGGTAAGGTCTCGCCTCATGTAGCCGTAAGCCCAAACGGTAAAACAGCGCTTAGTGGAATGAAGCATCGGTATAGTAGAGCAGAGTACATTCTCTATTAACAACATGCAGCCTTGAGCTGTCTTAGACGCGAAGCAGCACCTCCTCAAATATCCCTCTTCCCCTCCTCCCAAACCTTCTTCACCCTCGGAAACCTCAAACTCTTCCCCCCCTCCTTCTCCCCATCCGCCCCCAGCCGCTCACTCTCCTCAAAAAACTCTACCGTGATCTCCTTCCCCACAATCTCCTCCGGCCTCTCTGCATACCTCACTCTCTCCTCCGCCGTCCACCCCGAGCCCACCGCTACTTTTGTGCCTTTATGTTCAATCCATACGTTGGCCATGGCTTGCCGTTCGGCGAATGTGCCGTTGATGGATAGACGCATGGTGGTGGTTGTTAGGGAGAGGACGGGGTATTCGGCGTCTTGCCATTCTTTGAATTTACGCACGTCGGGGCTATGTCTCATGTCAGTTTTCATTCAAAATGATGGAAGAGACATTGAGAGAGGCGTACGATCGCTTCCCCTTATACAACGCATCCTTCCTCAGTATTAAACCTTCCCATCCTTCCTCCGCCGCCCTCTCCACCATCCCTTCCACATCCCCCAACCCCTCAACCTTACACTGCCTCAACTCTTTCACCATCCTCCCCTCCTTCCCCACCCCTTGTGCCTCCAGCTCCTTGTCAAACCAGGAAGTGAGCTCTTGTAGAGCTTGGGCGCGTTGAGAGAATGTTTGTGACAAGCCATAGCCGGGTAAAGCGCCTTTAGCGTGTACTTCGCCCCATGGTAAAAAGTCGAAGAGGAAGTAGGAGAGATGCTGGATCGTTCCAGATTTGCGTACTTGAGAGACGGTGGAAGGGAAGTCTTCGACGTAAGGGTCGTTGGCTTGCCAGATACCGCTAGCGGGGGAACCGTCGTCTTTTGCTTCTGAAATCTTCAATTCGGAGGGGGTTTTGGGGCGCATGACGCAGACCTCGCCGTCCAGAACGAGCCGTTTCACGATACCAGTTCCAGAGGAGGAATAGGGGGAGAGGGGGATGGTCTCGGTATCGTAGGAAAGAATCTCGCCGAGTTTCGGGTATTCAGCGAGCGTAGACAGCTGCTCACCCAGTTTCGAGAGCGACTTGAACGCCCGTCCCGATCGGCTCACAAAATGCGTGCTTATCAATTCCGGCTTCCCGCCTCCTTCTTCCCCATCCGCAGAAGGCGGAACGAGAAAGTCCAAAAAGGTGAGGACCCGAACCCCATCCAGCTTGCGTGAAGCGTACCATACTCCGCCGCCCGTACGGCCAGAGAAGAGCGCGTCGAATGGGGGTTCGATAGATTTGCCGAGAGCTACTTCGAATTTCTCTAGAGGACCAAAGTTTGGGAGGACGGGGGTTGCGTTGGGGGTGGTGGGGGAGGATTTCGGGGACTGTCTGGCTTTCGTGGTGGTAGGAACGGCCGCGGAGTCAAGAGGCTCGGGGGGAGGAAATTTCCTGGGCCTTCCCCTCTTGGCTCCCCCCTCCCCCTTCACCCCTCCCTCGGCCTTCGTCCCCTCCTCCCCAAGCCATTGCACTTCCTTCAAAATCCTCGCCCCAAATCCGCCATTCAAATTCCGATCCAACAACCTCCCAAACATGTCTTCCAATTCTTCCTTCCTTCTTACGCCATGAGCTTCCAAGAAAGAGAGGATGAGGGTTTTGGCGGCGTTGCCGGTGACGGCGCGAGAGGAGAGGAGGTGAAAAAGGGTGGGGATGTCGGAGGGCAGGTTGTCGAGTGGAGATGGTGAAAGAGTGGGTTCGGGGGTGGACAGGATTTTGTGGAATTGTGTAGATGTCATATGCGTACGCAAATTAGGCTCGTATATCCTACGTCGTATCAGCTATCCGCACTTGAGGTAAACTGCGCAAACCGTACAGCTCGAGCACTTTCCTCAAATCCGGGTACTGTGAGATGATCCTCTGCTTTTCGGCTTTGGAGTTGACAGCCGAGACTTCTTTGAGGAGCGATACAAGGCGTTGTAATTGCTGTTCGACTGTAGGCTGGGCGGGGGAGGTCGAGTACGGTTTTGTGAACCGCCCGCGTGACAAGGGGACAGTAAGAGCGCGTGATGGGAGGGCAGAACAGGGGCGGATGGTAGCCCGAGCATGCTGAGCGAGGGGTGCAAGCTGGCGGATGAGTCTTGCTCTCAACATGGTGGGAATGGAGGTAGATGTAGAAAAGAGAGATGGAGATAGAAATGGATGCAGCAACGAATGACAGAGAATGCCGAAGAGGTCAAAGCGCGGAGAGGGTTCTGATGTCTGTCCGGCCGCCGGGAGGACTTCAGATCGTCAGTGGCAGATGGTACACATGTATGACACGTTCGCAAACCGCTGCGAGCATGCAGCACTCAACGGGCCGCATGCTGAATAGCCCACTGAAATGGCCCATGTAGGCCTCCCAGTCAGCTAAGATCAGCTAAGATCGAAATATAGCATGAACTAGTACTTACCGCGCAAAACTTCGGAACCAGCGACCAGATGAGGTTGGCTGGAAATCGACTCGTCTTACAGTAGACCCGTTTGCTTCCTACACAGGCCAACTGACTGCTAGAACAATTCCTATATTATATCCGAACTAACGGTCAGGAGGCTGAGATGAGGACGAATTTTGGACGAAGAAGAATGAGGGTGGCGGGACAGTGAAACGATGGCTTTGGAAAGACTACAGGCAAATGCAGTGGGGGAAAAGGCAACACAATCGATGGACATGACGATGTTGGGAACTAACAGTATTGTGAGAATGTCGTACTGAGGTCAATCGGTCAGTCAAACTCGATTGTCTCGTACAGAGACTGGGGACTCACGAGGCGCACGGCGCTCAGACACAACCCCTCCCGCATCTCTTGCAAACAGCCCCAACCGACTCTTCAGGGGTATACATCCTCAGCCTTTCCATCTGTTTTTCCTTCAACCAATACCCGCTGATTCTTTGTAGCCATTTAGCGAGTGTAGGATCGCAACTGTATAATCTGACTCTGTGACTCGGAAAATGTGTAGCATTGGGTGATAAGTCAGCTATTTAGGGCATGATGAAGATCTCTCCTTACGGTATCCCGGACATTATCGGCCTTCTCACGTCTTCGAACCTAAGAGATTCTGTAAGATACTGGTATTGGCAATGCTGAATTTTAATAGTCGGCCAATATGTCTAGTATCTACAGCGGTTTGGCGCAAGAATTGGGTTTCGATTGTCTTTGCAAGGACCTGTATGAAGAGACCGCGAGTCAAAGCTGAGACTTGTCTACGAAAACGATCTTTTGAGATGGTCGGTCATCAAGTCCGCGCTGCCAGTGGCTTTTGGTTGTTGGAGTAACAAAAATTTGGCGGCAGAAGTCTGAGGATAGTGAAGAGTACAAGGTGCTCGCTCTGAGCAGGAGAGTTCACTGGAATTAGAGCGACTTCTGGTCAGATGACGAGCCATTGGAGGCTCGGGAAGAGGCAAACAGAGATGCACCCGTAGTCTTGATAGTTGGCGACCATCGGTCGGGGACTGTCTTGGAGACGTTCAAAGCTTTCAAAAACATAGTGATGGTAAGCTATGACTTTGCGCACCATTTTGGTTCTGTCCGCCCCCTTCCTTGCAGAGAAATTGGAAGAAGGGGCCAGGAAGGACTTGTCGCTACCCTCGGGCTTGTAGTAAGAGGGTAAAGTACATTATTGGAGGAGATTGCCATAGGAATCGAAGAATGAAAGGTGATTGTCGTGTGTGAGCTCGATGGTGTGATAGAGCCAGGTTAGATATCGGCTGCACGTATGACGATTGAGACAGAGGAGGTCGAAAAAGGCCGAAGACTGGGTTGGTAGGGAGCTGGCGTAGGCGTCGAGTATGAGGCGGGTGATGTCGTTGGGGAGACGGAAGAGGCTCTGGAGATTGAAAGTGGGTGCACCCGGGGACATGATGAGGTGATAGAGGTTCGAGATTAAGATGAGAAAGGTATCGAAGTCTTTGATACATTGCTAGCTCGTCGTGAGGCATACGCCTGGCCTATCGAGCGGTTTGTGTTGAGACAGGAACGACGCCGCAACATGGTGGGCGTACATATGGGTGTAAGAAACCACATTGATTCGTCTGCCATTGTCCCCATCTTGTACAAAGTGGTAAGTATCTACTGCCAGACAAGATATAAAGTGACTCAGCTACGCAGTCTCATACTCTGTGAAGTTGGATCGTCGACATGCTTTGCTTCTTCACTCACTCTGACATTCTCATTGTCATGGCACATAATGGTGCGCTCCAGCACTTGACTGCTCTAGTAGTCCTTACAGAGATCTGTCACATTTGGTCACTGCTCATCCGAAGCCACCGAGCCGAGCATCTCCGCGTAGCCATCCTCAGTCTTCAGGTGCAAATAACTTCTCCCCATAACGAGCATCTACGGTGTACAATATCGTGCGGCCTATCTCAAAGTCATCGACTTGTCAATTTTATACTGCATACATTCTGAGAATGTCAACCATGGAACTTCTTGATCTTCCGCCTGATCACTATCGTAAATGGAGGAAGGCGGGTTCAAGCTCAAGGCTCGTGGGTATCGTCATCGTCCCTCACGAGCGGCATTTCAGCGACTAACTTTCTGTTGTTTTCGTCATGTGAAAAGACAGATGATTCCTCATCGTACAGCATGAGTTGGAGCATGATATCATGGTCAATACTGCTCAGACCGATGTCGCCATATCGATCAGGATTCGATTCTACCAAATCTTTGAAAGTTGATTTCTCCGCTTCTACCAGAGCCCTCGGAGACCCTTCTTCTGCGCATGTTGGGCCCCACTGAGTTTGATTGTCCCGAAGGTGATTTTTGAGATACACGGATGCCTCATTGACTCTGCTTATATAGTCGTCGTTCTCGACGCTCCCGTTGGTGCTCGCATGGGCCATTGTCGTGAATGAACCTCGGCTAAGGTCTTTATTCTCGTCATCAAAAGCGCTGACCGTCCAGACATAAGCATTCTTCTCTTCTGCAGAATTGCTGGGGGAGAGATTCTGAACAGCACTTCTTTCCAGTATACCATCGAGAGGGTAGGTGTCTTCGTCATAGGCCCCATCTTTTCCACTCCAGGATTGACTTATGATCTGGGACGGCATTGTGTCTCGTATTGTTGTGAATGATGGTGATTGAACTCTGATAATTCTGTCGGTTCTCTTACATACAAATACATACAGAAGGCGTACATAATGGGATGAAAGCAAGGACTTGCAGTATGATTGTCACTGGCGTCTATCAGCTATTTTCGGAAGAGTTTTGCGATTTTGTTCGAGGAAATGTTTCTTGAACAATCGTTCTCCTTGCTAGCTGGTCATCCTTTCTATCTTGAGAAAGCTAAGAGCAATGCTTCTCCAGGCATATCTGCTAAATACGGAGACGTCCTCGACAGCCTTTCTTCCATTCGTCGGAGTAGCTCCATGCCTCAGCGTTGTGTGTGCCAAGGTCGCCCATAGTCTCGCCCGTCTCCGCATCGAGTATCAAGACCAACGAGTATACGACTCCCCCTTCTCCACCTTTCAATGCTACATCACGGCATAGACAGAGGCCAGAAATATCATTTTGGCGGGCTATTCTTGAGAATCGCATAGGCAAGCTCACAGACCGACGCGATCTGATGAGTACGAAGAACGCCACCTTCATCGCAATGTGCTTCTTTTACTCTGGAGAATAAGTATCTCATTGTGCCAGGCTGTCCTGGGAAATCACATTAGCTGTCAGTTTACAGGACGGCGCGATTGATGAACCCAAAGAACACCACCTTCATCGCATTCTGCTACGTTATGACCAGACATGGCAACATCGCGCGGTCTACTTCAAAGTGTTCGAAGCTTGTCAAATATATACAGTGTATGGTACTTTCTCACCCTCTAGAAAATGTCAAGTATAGGATAAATCAATCATCCGCTTGGTCCCCATCCTGCGCAGAGGAAGGCGGTGCGTCGCTCATGGCCTGGTCGGAGGTATCGACATCTACCCTCACAAATAACATTCCAGCGACTTCCTCCATCTCGTTCTCTTCTAGTGAAGGTGAGGGTTCGTTTGGATCATACGACGTGACTCTGAACATGATATCTGGGTCAATGATGCTCAGACCAATGTCGGGATTTCGATCAGGAAACTCTTCTACAATAGCTTCAAATGCCGTTCTCTCCGCTTCTACTAGAGCCATCGTGTCCCCTTGTTCGGTGCATGGAACACCCCACTGCCCTTCATTGCCCCGGAGGGTATTCACGAGATATCTCGAGACTTGATTCGCTCTCATCATGTAGTCTTCAATCTGGGTATTCCCATTGGTGCTCGCATGCGCGCCCGTCGTAAATGAATCTCGGTAGATGTCTCCAGTCTCGCGATCTATAGTGTTGCGAGTCCAGATGAAAGCATTAATCCCCTCTACAGGATTGATGGCGGAGAAGTTTTCAGAAACACATCTTTCCAGTACACCATCCAAGGGGTAGACGTTTTCGACATATCCACCGTTGTTTCCACTCCAGATTTGAGTTGTGACCTGGGACGCCATGATTTCTCGTATTGCTGTGAATGATAGTGTTGGAACTCTGATCATTTCGTCCGTTCTTTTATATAAAATTTCAGCTAGTAGTGGGCGTAGAGAATGACATGAAAGCAAGGACTTGGGGTATAATTATCACGGGCGGCCGTATCTGGAAGCGTTTTGCAATCTTGGTCTTCGTCGAGGTATAAACGTATACGGAGAAGCCCTCGAGAACCTTTGTCCGATTTGTCGGACTTATACCATTGACGTGAGTCGTGGTTGCATATGACCTTGTCCACATCATCGAGTACTGAAGACCCAAGAACATACAACTCCGCCTGATCGACCTTTCATTGCTACATCGCTGCAGGATCGTGCGCTACTCGCTCTCCACACTTCTGTCCACCCGACATGCCTCTGGAGCCAGCGGCTGCGCCCCTCTATACATCCTTCCTCTGTCCTCTCCTCACTTCCCAGTGAATTCCTTTTACACAGGCTGCGCCAGGCCTTCTTCGCTTTCAGACACTGTCACAGCCGCCGACATGTCCGATGAGCAAGCGATAATGGCTGCAGAAAATCAGATGGTGGAATACAACGTAGGGGATACTGGTCCGTCGTTAGTCTACAGAACCGACTGAAAGAACTTGAGCGAATGAAAAGACGAAATACGCGTTGAATACGCGACGCAAACGCGACGCGCCGGGCAACTTGCTCTAGGCGGCTGTCGCCGCAAATGCTCCTTCAATCAACGGCCAAGGCAAGTTCTATGGGTCCCTCGCCGTTGGTCCACGTCATATGCATGAGCGTACGGACGACCACAATGATATGCTTACACTCATTACATCATCCCACTCCTTCATTACAAACACCCCATCCCACAGCTCGGCAGATCGGGCACCAACTCGTGCAAGTGACGCGCGATTGTTGTTCGGAACCACACAATGTGTGTGGACGTGATCTGTCATTGCGTCATTGCTTTGAAAGCGTACCCGTCTTCAACCTTTTTGACTCTGGGTGTCTTTGTGAGATGGGGTGTTGAGGCGATGCTGCGCAGGATTCTAGGGTAAGAGTGAAGTGACAACATGCCAGCTGTGTCAGGCCAGGCCAGGGGCATTACGCACATAGAAACACATGGACTATCTCCTACGTTCCACTGCCCTCTTCTATCTGCCCCCTTATAAGAAGCGAGTGACATCTCTGGCATCGCCTCTCTTCTTTACTTTGCAGTACTTGAGCTCCCCATTCCTCTTGGCTATACCCGATCGTCTCGGCGTCTCTCCCCACAATGGCATCTTTCGGATTCCCCCAAAACATCCCCAGTGTACTCTGGTACTGCCCACACTGCAGCAACTACTGGGGAACGGGCTATAAGCCCCCTGAAGGGACTATCTGTCTTCACTGTCATGTACGTCCAGTATACTCCTCTACGGTATCGGGTATCATCCCTTTTCGCTAGCTTGGATTCGAGAACATGGCGTTTGTCACGTCGTCGGTGACTGGTGTTATTAGTGCTGACGAAGAAGAGATATAGAAAGTCATGGTAGATTCTGTGACTTGTATTTCGCCGTGGTTCAGATTCGGTCCTTCTACTCATGGATAGGCTGACTACATATGTACAAAGTCTCTTGGTAGTCTGCCTGAGGGTACAAGGAGGCGCGTTCAGGGCATGAGGATGACGGGAGGAGAGGTGGACTTGACTTTCAAATTCGACATTTTGGGGTTGCGGCCGGGGTGAGATGCATTGAAATGGCATATTCTCTCAACAAGTCCCTCTCGAGCTCTAGACAGCAAAGAATGGTCTGACGCTCAACGCTGGTCCGGAAATTGAGAATGTGTTCACTCTTCGTTGTCCTGTTGTTCGGTGCTCCGAGGTTCAGGATATACTATGATTCAGCCGAACCAGCAGCCGTGTGTTTCGACGATCGCCCCCGACGACGTTGATCCTCGTGTACTTGTGCATAATTGAGAATAGACACGGTATGACGTGTTGGAACTGAAAATCACTTGCGGAATGACGAAGGAAAGGGTGTATGAGGAAGTTGAAGATCACAACCTGGTCGTTCTTCCGTCATGACTAGACGCAAGGCGGAGAGAAAGACGCCGTATCAGCGCAAAAAGGCACCGTAGACAAGCGCTTCGGACACCAGATCTCCATGTCAGTCAAGGGAGGCACGAGTGTATATGCGCAGTCTAATGTTCTGCCGTTGTCAACGCGAGACAAGAAGCCCGTTTCAGAGAAGAGCCCGAAGTGCCCGCAACACTGGCACACAGCCATGTCTTCTCTGTCGACTGTCGATGCTCGAGCTGCGATCGCTGATACGTCTGTGCCTCAAGCTACTGGCCTGGTGGACACACAAACACGAAACAAGAAGTTTTCACTCGGAAAGGACAATGTATGAGCATGCGAAGCTGAGCCTGATGCTTCTCCTCTGCGTATATAAAAGCGCAAGTCGAGCGCTGTCGCCATCCATATCCAAGTGATATCTCTGCTCAACGACTTCTCCTATACCTCATGGTTCACAGCACCGTCCAATCCTAGACCCACCATCACAGCATCCTCCACCACCTCCCAAACAAACAAATGTCTTCAACAACAACAACAGGCCGCCTGATGTACTATTGTCCGCACTGCCAGGTGCTGGTCAATGATATGGCGAAGCCTGATGACTACTCGCTTTGCTGGAGCTGCTTCGTAAGTCTAATCGCTACGTTTGAGTGTGTTGTATGAGTTTTTTCTGACGGGAAATTTCGCTGGTAGACTGCTGTCCGAGCGGATGACAGGGGAATTCAGCCGGTTGTGAAAACACTCCCGACATCATCGTCCTAGCTCTTGATATACCACCCGTGATATGTAGTAGCTATGAAGTAACAGTAGCAAGGGGTATAGCATGCATGAGAGCTGAAGAAGAGGATTCACTAGTTCGGATTTCCCTCCCGCCTCCCTGCGATAAGTATCTCTTTTTCAGAAGTTTTGCCCAGGTCTGCCACTCCTTCTGAGCAGGCAGCGGAGCATATCCTGCTGCGTCTTCTGCCGTCTATTCATTTCACTGGCTTCCAAGGGCATCAAAATACCATGAGGGTGCCGACGCATAGGGTGACCACGAGCTCCGCGTTGTCATTCGGTGATGACCGACACTTCATAGTTCTAGAACATTCCAGTAAATAGAAGTGAGGGAGTCCTTGTAGAAGTATTAGTAAGCGGGGGAAGACAATAGAAAATTCTAGTATATACTACCAGGGGCGTGCTTACTAAGCACAGGGGACACAATAGATATTCTAGTACTTTCCATAGCGGGGGGCGCAAGATACATAAGGCGCCGGAAGTAGCATAGAAGAAGAGATGAACCAACCCCACTTTACCCCAACATCAACACGCGTTACGTTTTCACATTCACACCTTTCCGCAAGGACAACGTTTCATGTCGAGCAGATCATCATCTATCACATGAGTCTACATCTGTTTATCTCCTGCATTGCAACGAGCGTCTCTACATACAGTGTACATACAGTGATCAATGGTTCATCAAAGGGTATTGACGCCAACTAGTCAACATCATCAATCATCGTTCTGCGCACGTTGAAGCTGACTCTTCCATCAAAGACCTTCCCCGCATCATCCCGCTGCCTCCAAAATACCCCATCCGCAATCTGAACCCCAACCTCCCACCAAAGCCAGGAATCAGTCCCTCTGGGAAGTAAGCTACATAATCCTCGACAACCCCCTCTTCCACTCCCCAAAAATTCATGCTCCTCTCTCGATCCCATTTCCCCCGAGCAGCGCCTATTGTCTCACGCCAAATCCATCTATCGCGTGGGCTTGTTGAGGATATGGGGGGGGTTATGATGGGTGTCTGCACGTATAAGGGAGGCGGAAGAATCGTGGAGAGGGTTGTGGTTGGGGGTATGGAGAGTTTATTGGATTTGATCGAGGTGACACAAGTGAAGCGACTGAAATGGATGGTGGATGAAAATGAGAGGAGAGATCGAGATGATGTTGAGTGAATCTATACATTGCTGACCAGTAGTCATGAATAGTAGTCGCTTCAAAGTGTATTTTGATATCTGGTGCAAAGTTGTCGGCTCGTGCCAGATGACCGGGGGAGAAGAAGGCAAGTCGATCGCCCTCCAACATCGACGTTGACACGCCTTTGAGATTATCCTATATATGTAGGAAGTCATCTGCACTCTGCATGTCATCTAGGCGAGGCCGCTGTTGACAAAAGACTCTAGCGGGAGGAGTAGTCTGAGTGCGATGTCACGTCGAGCTACTATATCAGTGACATGCAGTGCTTCGGCCTCGCGCCTATGCGGTATGCCCTGACGAGCAACAGCTTATCCAGCGCTTTACTGCAGGTATTGTATTCGACTCTCACGGTCTCTGCTTGCACAAATGCATCGACAGTACGTAGTAGTATCTCCATACGTCAGCCATCGATGCTGAAGGATGGGACCGAGCGCTGACAGAGGTTCCCCGCACGGCCAGCCAAGGGGTAAGGCGGGGTGTTTTACCACATGTGGGCCACGGGGTACCTTGACTCTGGCTGGGTGTCTCGGCTGCGTCCACCGGTGTTCTGGGTACTCGGCCTCCGACATGAAAGCAAGGACTTGCGGTGTGATTATCAAGGGCGGCCGTATCTGGAAGCTTTTTGCAATTTTGGCCATGGTCGAGGTATTAACGTACTTGTACAACATCATGCTCTCCTCGACAGCTTGTCACGGATTCCTTCCTTGGAAGATCATATCCGCGTATCTGTACGGAGATGTCCTCGATAACCTTTGTTCGATTTGTCGGCTTCATACCGTTGACATGAGTCGTGCTCGCATATGATTCTGTTCACATCAAACATACAACTCCGCCTGTTCCACCTTTCATTGCTACATCGCTGCAGTATCGTGCGCTACTCGCTCTCCACACTAATCCTGTCCACCCGACATGCCTCTGGAGCCAGCGGACGCGCCCCTCTATCTATCCTTCCTCTGTCCTCCTGTCCCAAGACGAGGGACGAAAAAGGACGTGTCGCTACCCTCGGGGTCGTAGTAGGAGGAGAAAGTATATTCTTGAAGGAGATTGCCATAGGATTTGAAAAATGAGAGGTGATTGTAGTGTGTGAGCCCGATGGTGTGGTAGAGCCAGGTTAGACATCGGCTGTACGTATGGCGGTCGAGACAGAGGAGGTCGAGGAAGGCCGAAGACTGGGTCGGCAGGGAGCTGGGGTAGGCGTCGAATTCGAGGTGGAGGGTGTCGTCGGGGAGAGAGGAGAGGATGCTGCAAGGATGCTGGCTACGTCGAAGGTGGGGATATTCGAAGACATTTTGATCCGTGAAGTCACCATTCGTGAAATCACCGCGATACTTGCAACTAACAAACTGAAATGGAAAGAAAAGATACCATTCGTTAACCTCGTCGGCGCGTGGTAACGACCTCCCCTGGCAACCAGAGCCGGTGGTACCCCGCCGGGCCCAAGGTTAACGGAATCAATTTCGATGCGCGGTGACCCGCTGCCGGGAGTCCAAAGTTGGAATATGATTGGACATTATGGAGCTGTATGGATCACCTTCGACCTCTGTCCATTGCTGATCAGTATTCATAGATAGTAGTCGCTTCAAAGTGTACTTTGATATCTGGTGCAAAGTTGTCGGCTCGTGCCAGATGACCGGGGGAGAAGAAGGCGAGTCGATCGCCCTTCAACATTGACGTTGACACGCCTTTGTCAATGCTCTATATATATGTAGAAGGTCATCTGCACGCTGCATGCCATATGGGCAGGGCCGCTGTTGACAAAAGACTCTAGCGGGAGCAGTAGTCTGAATGCGATGTCACGTCGAGCTACTAATATCTGTGATATGCAGTGCTTCGGCCTCGCGCCTTTGCGGTATGCCCTGACGAGCAACAGCTTATCCAGCGCTTTACTGCAAACACCGTATTCGATTCTCACGGTCTCTGCTTGCACAAATGCATCGACAGTGGTCGTATCTCCAAACGTCAGCCATCGATGCTGAAGGATGGGACCGAGTGCTGACCGAGGTTCCCCGCACGGCGAGCCAGGGGCAAGGCGGGGGACCACACGTGGGCCCAAGGTGCCCCAACTCTCATTGGGTGACTCGGCTGTGTTTACCGGTATTCTGGGTGCTTGGCCTCCCGCTGGTGCGGCGGGGATGTCCGCGTAGCCCGGATCGAATTGGGCCGGGGTGTCACCGTGTCTTGCCTTCTTGTGCCTCTTTTTGCTGCATGCATACATTCCACGCTGCAAGACCCCCCCCCCCCTTGTTGCTTTTTCTCGATCCCAGCCATCTCCGCGGCAACAGCAAAGGGCCCCACTCACGATCGATACAGTTCTATAGCGGGATCCCTCGTGATCACTCGCCCTCGAGGCCCCTCGGCGCTTATTCCATCTCGAGTTTCTCATCTGCTTTTCCACAATCTCGCGAATACCATGGTGGCCTCGGAATTCTTGCCCTCAGAGGCCTCCGGGTCCAACACCCGGCGGCGTGTATCGACAGACAAATCCAACCCCTCCCCTTCGTCCACCGAAGCGTCCAACCCGCCCCGCCGTGGTTCAGACTCGAAAGACCAGGGCCAAGGCTCCAAACCCCCACGCAAGATCAACCGTACTGCCCCATCCCTGAAGCGCAATGCAGCGTGTCTCGTATGTGTGGGGGACTGCGAGAAGGATAAAGTCTAACACTACTATAGCCCTGCCGCCGCCGCCGGATCAAATGCGACGCCGGAAAACCGTTCTGCTCGTCTTGCTCAAAGACATATCTTTTTCTCAGAAGGACACACCCGGATGCAGAGAGAGATGCAGCAGGAGTGCCGTGCGAGTATGAGCCAGAGCCAGATGATGATGAAGTGCTGTTGGCAGCGGGGACGAAAAGGAAGGCGGAGGAGGAGAAGGCAAAGGACGATTTAATCAGGGATTTGCAGGCAAGAGTCGGTGAGTTTTCAAAGCGCTTACCGCTCCACGTATGCTAACGCTTTCACAGCAAATCTGGAATCCAACCATGGCTCGTCAAACCAACCCGGACCAAGCTACTACCCCACCCAAACCCCATTACAATCCTCCGCCTACCCAACATTCGACATTCAATTCACCCCCAGCGACAACAGCTCTTTCACAAACGCTCTCCCCGCGCAGGCGTACCCGAATGATCCGCCGCCGTTCCAGGGCGCAATCAGCTCGGATGAGTATACGGAAGGGGCGCAGAATGGGACGGGCGGGGGCACGTTGGGGGAAGAGTCGGGGAAGGTGAATGATCCGATGTTGGACATGTTTTGGCCCGGCTGGCCTCCTACGTTGCCTGTACCTGGTACGATCCCTCCTCCAACATTACCAAGTCTTATTGCTGACCGTTTTGGCAGCTGTCGTCGAACACCTGTGAGACCCCCTTTGACGAGACACGGGGCTCAAAAATTAACGATGTACAGCGTCGAAACATTCTTCTCCTCCGTCCCCTGCATCCCCTTCATCTTTAACCGCCAAGACTTCCTCTTCCGCCTCTCCCTCCCCCCGATCCACCCCCTTTTCCCCCAACGTTCCCTCCTCCACGCCATCTGCGCCGTCGCCTCCCGCTACTCTCTCGCCGTCAAAACGCTGCCCATAGAGGACTATATCAATTTGGAGGATTATGATGCGCGGACGATGCATGGGAGGGGGTGTTGGATCGAAGTGCGGGATATGCTTTGTTTTTCAGAGAGGAATGCGAGGCATGCGGTGGCGACTATGAATTATCACCATATTGGCGGGAGGGGGTTGTTGGATACTTGCCAGGCTCTTGTGAGTCCTCCCTCTTGCTCTTATCTTGTCCAGCTGCGTGAATTGGAGCTGATGACGAGACAAGCTGGTATTCAACTACTGGTGCCAAACAACCTGCCGCTGGATGGAAGGCTGGATGAACATCGGTGCCGCCTGCCGTCTCGCCACCTGCCTCGGCCTCTTCTCTTCCCTCTCCTACCACCATCCTCCCCCCCACCCCCACCCTCCGGCCGACCCGGCTTCCCCATTCCCAAGGCCGCAGACGCCGGTGGTGCAGCAGAGTATACTGGGCCCGCCGAAGACGGAGGCGGAGAGGGAGGAGAGGCTGGCGACGGCGTGGATGGCGTTTTGTCAGGATTCGGAGGCGGCGGTTAGTTCGGGGTGGGTTAATCAGTTGGGGGTTGAGGAACTTGTACGTTTTCCTTCTTCTGCGCCGGGGATATTGAGGGCTGAAGCTGATGCGGTTGATCAGACGATACCCTTCCCAGCAAGCCGAGCAGATAGGTGGTCGGAAGGACCCATACCCGAGAACGTACAGACATATCATTCAACCGATATCAACATCTCGTGCGTGCCCCTCACTTCCTCCGCCTCCCTCTATCCTCCTTTCCTCCATCTCAGTCTATCTAACACGGCAAAACAGACACCCAGTCCCAGATGCATTCGTGCTCCTGATCAAAGGCCAAATCCTCCTCTCCCGTGTGGGCGTCTTTATACGCCGGTACAGAAAGCTGTCAATGGATGAGAAGGAGACTGTTAGGGAGAGTAGTGAGTTTAAGGAGATTGAGAAGGATATTCAGCACATCCGGTACGTTCCCATTCCTGTACAAGCGGACAATGGTATGGAGGCTCATGAAAATGGAATAGATCTAGTTGGCCGGCGGGGCTGAAAGACCCGGTACAGTATATGAATGGGTATCAGAAACAGATTGATGCCGACCTTATCGTATGTTTTTTCTCTCTTCTCCCCTCTTTGATCATCTAAAGCAGCAACTGATGTTGGGCAGAGTGCGCATCTACTACCACCTACCGCCGCTATACTCCTCCACGAACCTTTCGCCGACCTATCCGACCCTGCCTGTCCGTCGGCGCGCAAGCTGTTGCACGAGTCGAAAGGTTGTTTGAAGGTGGTGTTTGAGATGTGTAATAATAGCGCTGCTATTTCGTATAGTGTTTCTGCTATTGCGCCTTGTGAGTCATTTTTTTCTGATCGGCGTGAAGATAGAAGGATGTAGCTGATGGGGTTGCTAGGGTTTTTGTATACTGCAGCGAGGACGTTGTTGTTGTTCTACCGCCGGGCGTTGGCGACGAGCGATTTGAAGAAGGTTGTAGAGTACCATAACGAGATCGCCGCCGTCCGGTAAGTCCTCCCCTCTCCCCTGTATACAAAACTGACCCCTCAATAGTACCACCATGGCTGCCCTATCCGTCCGAAACGCCATGGCCGCCCGCTACAACACCCTCCTCTCCATGACCATCCGCGCCCTCGAAGAAGAGACCATAGGCCATACCGTTCTCAACGGCGATTTCTCATCCTCCTTCCCCTTTACCCCCTTCTCCTCGGCTTCCAATAAAGGCCAGGCGGGAGAGAGTCTGGGGATCATACCGGCACAGGACGATAGTCAGCCAGCGGCGGGGTTGATAAGTAATCACCCCGATGGGATCTTTTTCAAGGATCATATCCAGCTGAGAGGGATGGGGAGGATGAGGGATGTGCACCCTGGGGCTGGGGGGCTGGCGGGGGTGTTTGGGGATGGAAGGGTGGTGGTGGAAGAGGAGGCGAGGTTGGAAGATGTCATGGATGAGAAACGCGGGTTCTTGGGAGGGAAGAGGCGAAGGTACAGTGAAGCTGGAGGTGGATCAGAGTACGGAAGATCGAGCGTCAGTAGCGTGCCGGGTGGACCGCTGTCGGGGAAAATCAACACGCAGCCGTTACCGCACAATCATCCCTCATTCTCGCCTTCGTCAGTGTCTTCGAATACGATGCCGACGGCTGTTTCGGTCACGGCGTATCCTGTGCCGCCTGCTGTTGGGGTGGCGGATCTTTCGGGGGCACCGATGGGCGGTGGGGGATCGGCGGCGGGTGGGGTTTGGTCGGAGCAGATGGGTAGGGATTGGACAGGCAGGTGACGTCAAGAAGAGGGGAAATGTTGTCTTGGTCAGACTTGTTGCGTATCTGGGCGAGATCTACTCGCGTTGTTGTACTTTTGAAGCCTGGTGTGATGTACCAGTATGGACAATGCAATTGAAAGTGTATCCAATGAAGCCGAAAACGCCGTGCCGTCATGCATGCATCTGAATGTTGCGACCATGAGTGCGATCGTACTCGCACAACCTGCATACCTACTGAACCTCAACCCCCTCAATCGACCTGTTCTTGCACTATGGGCTCTTCCGACGCCAACTTCGCACCTTCCCGTTCTGTCAGCCACATTGGAGGGAGCAATATCACGGCCTGCATCAGTGTTAGACAGTATGGACTATCGGGGAGGGCGAAGCTCTTACCAGCCTTGTATGGCCCTTGGTGAGCATAGTGTGGCGTCTCTTCCAGGCAGTTCATTTTAGCACATGTCCCTGTGAGCCTCGGTTTCTTGGAAGGGACTGGGTTGGCGTTGGAAGAGCTCATAGTGCAAGAACAGGTCGATTGAGGGGATTGAGGTTCAGTATAGGTGGTCGTAAGCCCGAGTGTATAGCGCCCCTTTCTTTAACCGCGATTCGAGGGCGTCTGAGGATATCCGAGATAAGCCTGTACCCGCGTGGGTTGACTACAGGAAGCAGTACTCACCGAGCACGTGCCACAAATACAACAGCGGTCTCGCACTACTAAACACTTCTCAGGCTGCATTGATTTCGGCCCAGTCTTTGTCGAGGTGGATCACTTTGGGGTCGATGATGGCAGTGAGTGCCGCAGTATCGCCTGTGTCGGGCGTAGCTGAACCCTCCGGTGGCGAGGGGGGGCGCCGCAGTTTACGCAGGGCTCGAAGGTGTCGTCGACAAGGTCACGGGCGGTGAACCAGACCCTTTCCCACAGGAAAGCGGGTGGCATTCTGGGTAGAGACAAGCGTGCTGAACTGATTGTCAACTGCACGCACTTGGATCATGTTCGAGACGTGGCTTACGGCAGTTGCTTCTCCCGAACGAAAGCGAACCATTCCGTCAAGCAGTACATATACCTCCGCTCCGTTTTGGGTGGAATAAAAGCCTGAGACACTGCGGCGATACTGTTCGAAACAGCGGGGGGACAAGGTGCCGTCCATTGTTCACCCTCTACCGGTACAACCGGTCTTTGTTCTTGTCTTTTCGTGCTTGCTTTTCGAGAGGGTGGGAGGAACGGGCAGCGGGCGTATCAGAAAGACTTCGACAGATGCGCGGCGGCCACCGCCGCCTGGAATCGATCCCAGCGTCGCATGCAAGTCGCATGGACTCTTTCACAACTCTTTCATCTTATTCTGTAAACCGCTTTCTCATACGACATGCCCCGCTCCACTAGACCCAGGCTCACCACCCTTACTCCCATGCCCACCGACGTCATCCACCTCATATTCGACGCCTACGTCCGCTCGCTACGCACCCAATCTTCGGCCTTCATCGACCTCCTCTGTCTCAGCCGCCAAACCTACCAGAAATACCTGCCATCTCTTTACCACACCATATCAATCAGTGACAGAAACCATTACTCATTCTTCAAGTGTTATGAGAAGTTCCTCGAAAATTGTTCTTTCACCCCTCCCGAGTACGATGGTAGCCTTGGACCGTTGTTTGACCCTGCGCTCGATTTCGCGGCAGAGCGTCGGGTCTTTGATTTCGATTCCGAGGCAGAGCGTCGGGTCTTTGATTTCGGCATGATACGCAAGATTGTGGTTGGGCCTACGGAAGTTTTCGAGAGCTTTGATCGACTTCAACACAAAGTTCGGGCGAGGGTTCCCAAGCAAGAGAACCGCTCTGGACGCCCCATTCATCTCTTCCCGCGGCTCGAATGGCTCGTCATCAAAGATTCAGTGGCTCGAGACCATCCAGACTGTCTTGCCCAGCGTACTTCCCTGGTATCCCTCGCCATCCTCCGGCTCTTGCCCGCCAACCTCTGCTATGCCGAATCTGATCGCAATTCTCCCTGGCTCTCCGACCAGCTCAAACAAATGTTTACGCGTAGAAACATCACTTTCGACTCGCTGTCTCTCCATGCTGGTGACTGGAGATCCGTACATCTTCCTAACAGGCTATCGTCGAACAGGTGTCGGCAATTGGCATACTGGCCTAAGGCTCCAATCAACAAACGCTCGTATCGAAAATTTGTGGAGCTTTTGGTGCCCGAAGATAAGGAAGGGCAAACGCCTGGGAATCGGTGAGTTTGAGCGTTCACTGTATCCTGAAAATAGCTGAGACCTTATCTAGAGGCCCCCAATTCCCTAGTCAAAGCGTCAAGCTGTTCAATTGCAACGCCACTCGCGAGGAATGGTTTTCACCAGCGAGCAAGACTCGATTGACTGAGAGGCAGACCGAGTGGAGATGTACACTCCTGAAGAGTCGGCCGGGCACGTATGCGAGGGATGTGGAAGGGGTGTTTGAGCGTTTGGGGTGGTGAGTTTTCCGAAGTCATGACATGGGCGACGTATCTGACTAGTCTTAGGGCGCGGGCATCTACCAGGCTCTGTCGATCCCGGATCTCCCATTCCTCATCATTTCGAAGCTCTTCCCTCCTCATTCCCTCTCCAGCTTCACCGGAAGGGCAAGCAGGTCAACAAGTACTGCGGAGAGAGGGGGTATTGAGCGGAAGTGTCTATGGCATGCGGGTCATTAGTCGAGCTCGTGGGACTGTCTGTTCGGTGCCTTGTGATGAGATGTTTAGGATGTAAGTACTCTTTTCGTCTCCGAATGTACATTGAAGGCTGACAACCCATCAGATCAAATTACATTCTCCGCCGTCTTCTACGCTTCTACTTTCGATTTCGCTCGGTCACCGGATCTGTCGGCGAGGATAACGATGGTGAAGTGGTGTATGGGTCTGGAGGGAGTATTGGAGAAGTTCATGTGCATGGAAGAGATAGGAAGAACGGCGGAGGGATGGATGAAGGTGCGCGAGCCGGAGGGGCTTGGAGGAGTCGGGTTACGTCCTCGCCGTCGGTTGTAAAGGTCTGTCGGGTGGAATGGAGCCCTGTAGAATACTCCTGTATCCGGTCAATCGACAGAAGATGAACGGGGTACCAATCTGCTGCATTTCTCGGAGAAATAGATGCTACACGTCCGTTGACCTCGGCCTGGGAGCTGGGGTTGCGGTACCGGTCCCGGTTGCCAGGGGACTATCGACAACATCAGGCGCATACATAACACTGGTGCAAGCAAACATCTCTCCTCCCCAATCCAACCTGCCACCTGCCAGTCCCAGATGTCCTCTCCTGCCTCCACTTCCGACATTGCAAAATTCCTCTCGTCTTTCCCCGACGACATTGTCCACCTCATATTCGACGCCTACGCCAGGTCCCTCCCCACGTCCTCAGCCATTCTCGACTTTCTCTGCCTCGACCGTCGAACATACAAGACATATCTACCCCTCCTATACCACACCATCGAGCTTACAGGGGAAAACCACTACCCCTTCCTGCGGCGCTATGCGAAGCTTCTTGCGGAGTGCGCTTTCGTCCCTGTCGAGCAAGACAACCCCGACTCGTTAGTCTTCGCTCCTGTCCTTAATGCGGCCGCATCGGATGGGCTGCTCAATCCCGGCTCTGTATGCAAGATAGTTATCGTGCATTGCAGTGCATTCAAGCCCTTTGCTCAGCTGCATGACAGTTTTCGCAAGAAGATTATGGAGCAAGAGGACATCCCCATCGGCCGCAACGTATCTATCCGTCTCTTTCCTCGCCTCGACTGGCTCGTCATCAAGCCAGAGGATGCACGAGCGTTCTCAAACACTACTATTCATACTGCATCCCTCGTCATGCGTACTACTATCATACTCTGGCTGTCCAACATCTGCTACACCGAAGCTCCTAGCGGTGGGCGTTGGCTGTCGGACCAGCTTGGGCAGGTCTTTCTGCGTACGCGTCTTAGCGTGGACTCGCTGTCTCTCCATGATGGTACTAGAGAGACGACTTTGACAGGGGGGGTGTCATTGAATCGTAGTCAGATAATGACATATTGGCTCAAGCCGCAGATAGGCGCTGGGATCCAGAAGAATAGGATAGTAAAGTTTTTGACGTCTATGGTATCTCAAGAACGCGATAGGCATGTGCTTGGGAACCTGTGAGTGCAGATGTCAGGGTTTCTGTATGCCAGCTGACAAGTTGTCCAGTAGCACACACTTTCCGAGTCAAGCGGTCAGACTGTACAACTGCAGACCCACGCGCGAGGAAGTCTTCGCTCCGATGACAGCCCATCATTTCACCGATGAGCAGATGGGGAGAGTGGAGATGTATACGCCTGAAGAGTCGATTGAGCATGTGTGCGAGGGTTGTGGTAGACGTGCTTGAGTCGTTGGAGAGGTGAGTTGCCCGAAATGATACCGAGATCTCGCCTTGATCTGACGTTGTGCGTTTAGGGGTGTTCGGTTGTCATGGATTGTGGAAGTCGGGCCGCGTCGAGAAACCCGGCGACGAGTGTGGCACCTTCTCGGGGGCGACGACCTCTGAATCTTGGTCTGGATTGTCGTCCAGTGCCCGAACAGGTTCCAGCGAGTTTCCCCACCGACTCGTGTTGGTTCCCAGACACCGTATCCAGGGACCAGGGGTAAGGAGAAGTTACATAGTCGGAGAGCAGCCGTGCCTTTCAGGGAATGTTACCGGTGTTGAGATTTGCTGCGCGACGGGGCATCTTTCTTTCTTCATCACTCTGCGCCTGCTCAACAACAGATGATATAGAGATCAGACAGGAGAAAAATCGTACCATGCCTTCTCTCGTCTACCCTTACACAGCCTCACTGCAGTGCCAACTACGCTTCATCAAACTTACCCTCCCCGTCCCAATCCCCAGCCTCAGCCCTCTCCATGTACAGCACCACCCCTCCTCTTTCGCGCGCCGCCTCGTACAGCATCCCTGCCACCCCCACTGGAGCTTCGCAAACCCCTTCAACCGGCACCACTGTCGACCTAACACAGAGGCAGTCACAATGTGATGCCAGCCATGTCTCTCGACAGGCTGACGCCCCAAAGGTTGCGAAGTACTGTGTCTGGAGCGACGCAGACGACTCCACCATGGTCGGTGTCCTCACCGATGCCAAGATGTGGGCATAGTTTCTTTCTCTTGTTGCTCGGAACAGCCTCTGACATCGTGACTTCGTAGTGACGGCCGGACATCCGACAATGGCTTTAAGGCTGGTGTCTGGACAAAAGTCATCGACGCCGTCAACCCTCCCACCTCCGGCAAGCCCAAGAACTTGCGCTCTGCCAAAGATCGGCACGGGCATCTGTCTAGAGACTGGGCCGTTATGCGTGACCTGAGGTTCAAGAACACGTCAGGATGGGAATGGGATGATGCGAACTGTATGGTGACCGCGCCGGATGAGGTTTGGGATCGCTATCTCGAGGTGGGTCGGCTCTTGCTTGGAATCGATGGTGTGCCAGACTGACATGGTTTTACAGGCGCACCCCGGCCACAAAAAGTACCGCGATAAGCCCTTTCCTCTCTACGACCAATACGAGTTCTTGCTCAGCGACGTCATGGCTACGGGTGCCAATGTCGTGACTGCCGGCGACCCCTCATCTCCGGTCGAAAGCACGTCCACGGTACCCTCGGTACCCGAAGTCATGGGAGCAAGACAGGCGACTGAAGGGACGGCCGGAGAGGTGAGTCCGACGCTGATATACATGGTGCATTGTTGACTGTTTGAATCACAGTCTCTCGAAGGAGCTCCCTCCTCTTCTGGCTCTGGCGACGCTCCCCCCACCGCTCATCATACAACTCCCGTCCTCCGCGCCCCGCCGAATCTCCCGCCGCCTCGCACGAGTCGATCCCGTCACTCTCACTTCTCGGGCCAGCAGAGCATGGACAGAATGGCTTCGGCCATGGAGCAGTTTGTCCACGTGGGCAAGGCCTTGGTCGACGCGGACCAGCAGGGGAGGGGCGGGTCTCTTCCGGACACCCCTCGAACCAAGCGCTTGCGCGAGGCCATTGACTATACCGCTGACTGCGATGATCTTGATCGCCATCAACGCAAGGCCCTCATCCGCCGACTTATCACCTCTGATGACCGAAACGCCCTCGCCGTCGCGATCCAGTCGATGGAGGAGGGCGGGTTGAAGGCGGACGTGCTGCGGACCCTTGCGGATGAGGCGAAGTAAGGCATCAGGGGTACGCGGTGCGATCGTGTGAAGGCTGTGTGGATATCTGAGGCAGTAGCCCGTTGCTGGAGGTGCTATGGTGCATTGAAGTGCTCTCTGTGACGTTTGTTGTGTTGCGTCGCAGTGTGTGGGCCTCGTCTTGCTGCATCAACGCGGCCGCACAACTCTCGCGCGTGAGCTCATCGCGCCGCGTAGTATTCATATGGCCGTGTCATGTTGTACTGCTTTCATCATGCATAGATAGGCCAAAATTGCACGCCCGAAAGAGACAGATCTGATAACCATACTAGCTCACATGCATCGCAACGTGTTTTTTTCTTTGAAACGAACAACAATGTACTCGGCCACACTGCGTTTCTACATACTCCACATTAGCTGAGAGTCTTCTTTGCCGAGATGCCGTAGGATATGGTACTCGAGTACTGCAGTATCACTAGCGAATGGAGGTTTATGCCGATCCTGCCATGTTGTACGATACGAGCTCATGAAAGATATACAATTGCAATGTCACCCGCCAAGAGTTGTTCCCACCCCCACAATTAAGGACGAGTTCAACGAGAAAGTGGAGATACTTGAATATACCACCGCAGAATCAGCTGGTTATGTTTGCGATGGATGTGGCAGAGGTGCTTGAGCTGCTGTGTGGTGAGTCTCTCGGCGGCGCAGAAGAGATATGCTGATTTCTTTTTAGGGACGAGCGCGACCGATCACACCTTATTCATTCCCATCTATCTTTCCTACCATCTCCCACATTCCTCCTCGACCTCTCGGACCCTTGCTTCCAGTCGAGGCGATGGGTCATGGAATGGCATGCTTTAATGGTGCGGCTGGAGCTGTGGAAATGGACTGGGAGATGCTGGAGCTAGCTCCGACAATCACTCTGGAGCCAAGCATCTGAACCAAGGAGCGTAGAAAGCCGAGCAAAGTGGCAGACTGGGAGCAAACAAACGATCCAGCGGAAGACCGAGGTGGCTGGATTAAAAAAATTGGGGAATTTCCCGACGCCGCCGCTCCACCTCCCCTACTTGGTTTGTTTGTGTCTGCAAACTGTTGTCCATCTCTACTTTTGGAATAACCATGTCCGCCGACCCATCCGGCATCCCGCCATCTCTCACAACCCTCTCCCCCCTCCTCAACGACGTTACTCGCCCTATACTCGGCTACTACCTCGATACCCTCTCTTCCCAATCTCCGGCCTTCCGCGATCTCCTCTATGCCGACCGCTTTTGCTAGAAGACGCTAGCTCCCTGAGTCTACCAAGATGTCACTCTTCACAAGGGAACACCCTTAGCTTCTTCAGGGCCTACAACACCCCTTTTCTGCAAGAGGGAAGCCATTTTGAGCTGTCAGATAACGCGATCCTAGGAGACGTGTTCTACACGCCGATCCGCGCGCCTTCCGACACATCTTCTATCGTCTCCTTGCAGCCCTCGGAGAGGATCCGAAAGATCACTCTTCAAGACGGCGAGGCCGCCATCCGCTGTCATATAGCGCGCAAGAGAGTTGAGGGACGATGCTCCTGGTCTTTGCTCAAACACTGACTGGGACGTTTTACTGTAGTCTTTGGCTCCGAGTCGTTCGCCTGTTCAACTGTTGCCTCACACCAGAACGAGTTATGGAGCTTGTCAGGGAGATGTGGGACCACGTCCCTCCATGGGCGAAGAGGCTTGAGGTTTACGGACGTGGAAAAGCTCATGGCTGCGTCTGTGAGGGCTGTGGGAAGCCATTCTAGCTTTTGCAGTTTAGCTTTTCCTGTCTTTTTATTTATGCGATTTCAAGATCTATCTACCTGACTGTAGAAACCAGTAGACTGAATAGCCATCTTGCAAGCGTCGCCTTCACTCTCCTCTCTCTTGTTCGCGCCAAAGACAGAATCCGACGGAAGACCGAGCTGGCCCGGGCGGACACTTGTCGACCACGTGTCAAATTTTGATCGTTCACACTTCTTCGCAGACACTTCGACCTGTTGTTCTTGATCCTCGCATGATCATGTCCATCTACCAGCTCTCGCCATCTCCCACATCTCTCTCCCCTCTGCCCAACGAAGTCATCCGCATAATCCTCGACTTTTACCTCTCCGCCCTCTCTCCCCAATCTTCGGCTTTCTACGACCTCCTCCACGCGAGCCGCTTCTGCTACAATATATTGGCGCCTCGTCTTTATGAGCATGTTACTCTCGACAAGCGCAACTCGGAACGCTTCTTCGAGGCCTACTGCGATTCCCTTCTGCGAGAGGGAGTGAGCTTTGTGCCGTCAAGCACGGCGTTTCCGGGCCGAGAGATCATCTACAAGCCTATCCCTCCTCCTCCGCCGTCGTCTCGCGGCTCGACCCATCCTTCGGCACTCATTCGCAAGGTCACTCTTGTCGATGGTGCTGCTGTCATCCGCTGTCAGATAGCGCGGGAGAAGATCCAAACCCGGTGCTCCCTCACCCTGCAACCTCCGCCCACCGAGCGCCCGTCCGTCGCCCTTTTCCCTAATCTCGAATGGCTGGTCATCCCTTCGTCGATGCGAGGTAACGTGACTCTCACACGTGAAGGCCACACTCCTTCTTTCCATACTCGGGAAGAACCCCCTCTTCGGTCTTACGACGCTTTGCAAGATATCGACGCGCTTCAGCCACCTCGGCTTTGTATTACCGAAAGTCCTCACACGAGTTCGGTGCAAGCCATCAACCGAGCGTACTTCTTTGCCAAGTATCCTCAACAGTTAGAGGAGCTCTCGATACACGGGACAAGAGGGCGCGATCAAAGCTTTATGTCGCAGAATCGGACGAGGGTCTTGAATGTGGCTTTTGCGATACCAGAGGCAGGGGAGAGAAACGAAGAAGGGGGGGAGGAGACGCAAGTGTATGACCCGGAGATCGAGCTGGGGTGGCATCTGGATATGTTGGATTACTCTGAACGAGACTTGAGACCGTCGTGAGCTCTACATCTCTCCCCTCTTCTTCTGCGCTGACTTGGGTATTCTGTTGTAGACTCCCACTCGAAATCGTCCGCTTCTTCAACTGTACACTACCGAAACAGCGAGTACTGGAGAGAATACGAGAGAGGCGGGACCCCGTTCCTTCCTGGTTGGAAAGTCTTCAGGTCTACGGGCCAGGCGAGGATCATGGATGCGTGTGCGAGGGGTGTGGGAAGTCTCTTTAGTTGTTGGGCGTTTGGTGGATTGAAAATGTGAAATCTGGTGAGCGTGGTGGCTGTCAGGTATGATGCAAGGGGCTCTGATGAGTCAGGATGAATGTTGCGAGCTGTTGGGTCGTTATGGTGGGCGGATTTACAGACCCGTATGGATGTGCTGGGACGTTGATGCTGCTAGGGACATGCCGAGTACTATCTTGCGCTGAAGTACATAAAAAAATCCGGACTCCAGTAATATATGCACTTCCTAAAGCCCCAAGCTACTACCATTGCAAGACAAGCAGAGGATGGACGTAGGACTTGCTGCCCACGTGTCGACCACGTGTCAAATTTCGAGATCATGTCCTTTTTCGGAACCCCGTCGCATAGTATTCAGCGTCTTTACTACCCAACCCACGGCCATGTCCAGCAGCCCATCCAGCGCCTCCTCCGTCACCACCCTCTATCCCCTCCCCAAAGAAGTTATCCACATAATCCTCGACTTTTACCTCTCCTTCGCCCTCTCCCCAATCTTCGGCTTTCCACGACCTCATTCATGCCAGCCGTTTCTGCTACAAGATATTGGCGCCTCGTCTTTATGAACATGTCAACCTCAACGAGCACAACTCGCAACGCTTTTTCGAAGCCTACTACAATTCGCTTCTGCGAGTGGGTGTGAGCTTTGTAGCGTCAAGCACGGCGTTTCCGGGCAGAGAGATCATCTACAAGCCTATCCCCGCTCCTCCGCCGGCGTCTCGCAGCTCGCCCCATCCTTCGGTACTCATTCGCAAGATCACTCTCGTAGATGGGGCTGCTGCCATCCGCTGTCAAATGGCGCGGAAGAAGATCCAGACCCTGCAACCTCCGCCCACCGAGCGCCTGTTCGTCACCCTTTTCCTTAATCTCGAATGGCTGGTCATGCCTTCGTCGATCCGAGGTGAAGTCACCATCATGCGTGAAGGCCACGCTCCTTCTATCCACACTCGTGAAGAACCCCGTCTTCTGTCTTACGACGCTTTGCAACATATCGACGCGTTTCAGCCACCTCGGCTTTGTATTACCGAAAGTCCTCACACGATTTCGGTGCGATCCATCAACCGAGCGAGATTATTTGCCAAGTATACTCACCCATTAGAGGTGCTCTCGGTACACAGGACAAGAGGGCGCCATCAAGACTTTATGACGCGATATCGGACGAGGGTCTTGAATGTGGCTTTTGCGATACCGGCGGTGACGAGGGAGGCGAAGGCACAGACAGGGGAGAGGAATGAAGAATGGGGCGACTCGACACAAATGTATGAGTCGATGGTCGAGCTGGGATGGCATCTGGATATGTTGGAATACTCCGAACAAGACTTGAGAACGTCGTGAGCTCTACATCTCTCCCCTCTTCTTCTGCGCTGACTTGGGCATATTGTTGTAGGCTCCCACCCGAAATCGTCCGCTTCTTTAACTGTCCGCTACCGAAACAGCGAGTACTGGAGAGAATAAGAGTGAAGTGGAACCCCGTTCCTTCCTGGGCAGACAACCTTCAGGTCCATGGACCAGGCAAGGATCATGGATACGTTTGCGGGGGCTGTGAGAAGCCGTTCTAGCTGTGAGTCTGTCTGTGATGTACTATCATGGCGCTGACCAGATTTGGACAGCATAGCAGTTATCCCAATGCCCGATTATGCGCCAGTACGATGCAGATTATACATGTCAGTTGAGCACAAATGCAAGCAAAATGCCAACAGCGCCATTCCCTCCCGATCCCACATTCTATTCAGCCTTCAACCCAAGCTCTATACCTAGCGAACTCGGACTCGATCTACGTCTATGCTCGCTCCCATGTACCGGCGTCAAAGTTCTCGTCGTGCCACATGGCGACGGCGTCTCCGACCTCCTCTTACTCCACCCACTACTAACACTCCCTACACTCGCACTCGGGCTCACCCCCCTCCCTCCTCCCCCTCCTCCCGCCAGTCCGGTATCACCATACAAGAACCAAAACCAGCCCCTGTCCGCCCTCGCCGCGCGCTGCTTTTCTTCGCGCCGCCGTTCAAAGGCGGACCGGTAACGCTCGTAGCCTTCGCGGAAAGAACGGTCGACGCGGGAGGAGAAGATGAGTTCGCCCCGCGGGTTGGAGGAGGGGGGGATGGTGGCCATGACGTTTGGGGTGACGGAAGGGCGGCGGGATTTGGTGGTGGCGTTGGGGGAGAGGGTGGAGGGGAGGTTCTTGCCGGGGAGCGAGGGTTTGAAGGATGTTGGGGAGGCGGTGGTGGATGGGCGACGGGCGGGGTTGGTGGAGGAGGGGCGGAGGGCGGAGGGGAAGAAGGGGAGGGAGAAGGGGAAGGGGAGGGGGCGGCGCATGTTTAGGTGCATATTGAGTGGACGTAGGGATCTGTTTGAGTGGTTTATGTAGCTGATTTTGGATCAGCGATGGGCCCGAGAATAGTGAATGGACATTAGTGCTTACCTATGGGCATATCGAATCTTTTCTTCGTACATTCCACTGGCAAAGAAGAGCACCAGCGTGATAGAAACGACGGCTACGCTCGCTTGAAGGGCACGTAGAAGCAGAGTGTTCTGCTTCCCGTGTCAGCGCATCATCTGGAGTAGACATAGAAGTACTTACGTCTGGAGGATGTATCACAAGCTTATGCCCCATACAACCCAAGACAGCGACGAAAGACCACAAAAAGACTATCCCCATATCAGTCCCTCGGTCTCATGCCCCGTCCTTCTGAGGAACTCACTCATGTACCTCCTCCTTCTGCGCTTGAGCATCTCTGCATTGCTCTTGAGGCGTTCCTCGAATAACAGCAAGTCGCGGTAGGTGGCCGTATCTGTTGGGGGGTGGTATGGGGCGTTGGGGGCGGGGCGGAGTGGGGAGGAGACGTTGCGATTCGGTGGCTGGGCGATGTAAGCAGGGAGCTTGGAGGGCAGGGAGATGAGGGTATGCTTACCCGGGGAGGCATGGTGGGCAGGATGTAGGAAAGAAATACAATCACAAGGAAGAGTCACTTGAGGAAGACAAATACATCGGCAGTCGTCGCGAAATAAGTGGACAGGCGGCGGATGGGGATCCGAGCCACGTGGGTAGGCGGCCACCGCCGCCAGCCGAGGGTTCGTTCAACGTGTATGTTTCAGACAAGGTCGCCTAGCCACGTTGTAAGCCGATCTTAGCAGAAGAGAAGCGTAAATCATAGGGAGGAATATAACACACAGGTACATGCATAGTGGCTCCATACAACGACAGCGAGTGCGAGACTCAGTGAAAGAACTGATCGCGCACTTGCCTTTGGATAGGGAATAACCCAATTTCGGGCCAGCTCAGAACATTCTTGTGGATAGTGTATCGTTAGACAGCAAATCATGATACAGAAAGCAAGAGTGCGTACCCCACAATACGGACATCTGGAAGTTGCAGGGGGTGGTACATTCCATCCGACCGTCTGAGGACACCGCCTGAATTCGCGAGTTGATACAATCGCCGTCCAGGGGCAGAACCAGGCGGTGCGGATTGGCCATATTCTCATTGTGTATGATACAAACTGAGTTGTGATAGAGAACTTGAGCCAAGTATCTATCGTTTCATCAAGGTTCATTTATAGGTCCGCCGGCCGGCCGTGAACGTCATCAGTCAAAGTGTCGCCGTTTACCTGAAACGCTACTCAATAACGAGCATCGCCACAATGCACTTTGTCGTTCTGTGTGCAGTTCTCCGTGTGCTTCCGGCGAGGTCAGTGAAAGCGCCTCGCTGTGATTATCGCCGCCTCAGCTGGGGATGATCTCAGCCAACAACGAGGCAGTCGTTGTTTCATGCACATATGTATTCGAACAGAGGAGATCCCCATTAGAATGAAGAGAGCCTTTAGGCTTCTAGTCATCGGCGCAAAGCGATATCAGGATGACATAAGACTTAAAGAAGAAGACCCGGGCGGGCGGACAGCGAGGTTTGATGCTCCAATGACGACGAGGGGTTGATGATTCTCGAGGGAGAAGCTCTAAATGACACGAGCAGATGACCGCGCTCTATTCATCTCAGTGGATCGGTTTGAATTCACACTCTACTTTCAGGGGCCATGTGCAGTCATGTCCAGGTTTTGAGAGCACAAAAAGTTAAGAAGTGACAAAAAGAAATTCTCCATCAGGGAGTTGAACCCTGGTCTACCGCGTGAGAAGCGGTTATACTAACCGTTATACTAATGAAGAGTCATACTTTTTTATAATATTTGTTTGTTTGAGTCGGCGTACCGCACAACTTACGGCTTCATTAACGATGACAGCTCAGAGGCTTCAACAGTGAATGTAGAACGACCAGTGGCAAAGGTTGTAACAAGCTTTCATCGTTTCTTTCTTCATATCTCGTTCAGACTAGTCTATACTTCATTTGTATGTATTCACCTATAACACCACAGTAGCACACTTCTCCCTATCCTCTTCTCAAAGAGCTTCCTTCAACTCAGCTCCAAAATATCCCTCACACTCTTCCCAATCACCTCCCCACCCTGTCTGCCCACCTTCCCCGCCCCCGCTCCCACCCGCGACGCTTTCACCGCCTGCCCCAACACCCCTCCTCCACCCCCATGCCCATGTCCGTCGAGAGAGAAATCATCCACTATATTCCGACGTCCTTTCCCCCCGTCCAACCGCCCACCTCCTGCCCCTCCGCCTTGCATTTGAGGGAGGGGATCCACGATAGGCCGCAGAGTGTCTGGGGACGAGAACGCGAGCAAGAGGTTGGCAGCTTCTTCTGCTGGCATGTCTGTTGTTCCCTTGGGCTGAGGGAGGTTGGGGTTTGGTGCGTGCGTGGAGGGGGGTTGGAAGGAGGAGAGGGGGGAGAGGGATGGGGGACGTGAGGGGATGGGGGTGGAGGAGTTGGTGGAGTGCGATGAAGAGTGGCTTTGAGAGTGGGAAGGGGGTTCGAGAGAGAGATGCGGGGGCGATCCGCTCTTCCCCTGCACGGTAGATGGCGCACGGAACGTATCCGCGGGAGATTCCCCAACGTTCACCATACCCCCAAACAGACTCAACCCCGTCGCTGCCAAAAACGGCGACGGCTCACTCCCGCTCATCCCCCCAGTGGACCCCGTGGCAGAAGTCCCAGTGCTCAACCCCGGTGTGTCGGTGTGGGCGTAAGAAGGAGGGTGGGAGTGCGGTTGGAGGAAGGGGGAGGTGGGGGATGGGGCGGGGAAAGGGAGGAAGATGGGGTTGGACTTTGTGGCGGGGGGTGGGGGACGGGATGTTGGTTGGGGTGGGGGTTTGGTTGTGGGGTTCAAAAGAGGGGAAGAGAGGTAGTCTCCCGAGGTTGAACGTTTTTTTTGAACAGGGCGAGAAGAGGCGCGAGTGAGCGGAGGAGGGAGGTTGGACTCGGGTTCAGTCTCGTTTGGGTCGGGCGAGATGGGCGCGTGGGATTTGTCGGGGGAAGGGGAAGGGTAGGGGGATGTTTTGTGGGAGGGGAACTCGGGGGCGGAGGTTTCGGCTTGGTGGGAGCTTGAGCGGGAGGTGGTGGTGTTGGAGGGGAGGGAGACGCCGAGCTGGGATTCGAGCATGACGAGTTGGCGTTTGAGGTCTTTCATATGTATCACCGTCTTTTCTAGCACCTGGAAGGTGTCAGCATCTCGTCGCCGTACCAATTCGGAGAGACTCACTTCAAGTTTGAATTCACCGCCCTTTCCACCATTATCGCCCAGACCGGGCACCATATTTCTGAGCTCGTCTAAAGCAGCGTTGATCTTTTCCCGACGACGACGCTCGATCAAAGAATGGTTGGCCTTTCTCAACGCCTCTCGAGACATCCCTTTGCCCTTGCCCTTAGTACTGACTCCACCAGCAGCACCAGGCTGATCCGTCTTGCTCGTTTTCCTCGCTCGACGAGCGGGTCGTGTGCTGGACGATGGAGCACAATCATCCTCTCCTTCTGCGTCGTCGTCTTCGTCCTCTTCAGACTGGAACGAAGGTGATGAAACATTACCGTCGACAGGCGAGGGGAGGAGCTTGCGCTTCTTGGCTGTGTTCGTTCTCGGATGAGATGGGAGGGTGGAGGGGGGTGGCATGGCAGAGTAGGTTTGAGCTGGGGGATGGGTCCTGCGCCCGCCGGCGGTGGAAGAGCCTGAGGCTAGGGACGAGTATTGTTGCTGCTGTTGCTGGAAGGTCACGCGATGCGATGTGTCAGACGACTGGGGGTGCTGGGCTATCGGCGGTGAGGGGTGGTATCGCTGGGGCAAGGGGAGTGCTGGACTCGGTTCTGATGAATGGACGAGCATTTCGCCTCTGTTGCAGTCTTGCGGGTATATAGTCTCTTTCTTGGACTTGAGAATGGAGTGACCGTGTGCTCGTGTGCTCGTGTGATGTGGAGTCGACTGAGCGGATCCGCTGGAAAGAGAGGGAAACAAATCAGGACAGTCAGCCAAAGTCGAACGTGCGTGAC